TGCGATGGTCGTGTATCTTGTGCAGTGGGCGTGGTTTAAACTGAAGTGGCGTCACACTTACGAACCGGATACTCCATGTACTGTGTGGACTCCGCGGGCGCGAGGAAGTTCAACACAGAGAGCCTCGATTTCGATGCAGATATGCGTAGACGGCTCTAATGTGAAATCCCTCTATAATATATACCACCCATCTAGAGATTGAAAGAGGGCCTCTAACCCTGCCCTTCCTTGGACCAGCAGACTCATCATCTGACGATTAAACAGGGAATGAATATGTTGGGAAATGAATCCGAGATGGTGTAGATAACAAGCTGCTAAGTTCTTACGCGAAGAAACTCTACTCGATGATCATTTGTCGCCTGTGCTAACCCAAGTCTCCCGAAAAAAAAATTGACTGAATATTGCCCAGTTTTACGTAACTGTGAACTTCACGATCACCAAAGCACACAACCTAGCTGAGTTCAACGATCTACGCAGAGGGCTACTGAGGTCAGAGGAGTTACTACAGGGGGCACAGGGAGAGAGTGTCCCCAGCCCCCCCCCCTTTGAAATCCGTGAATAATCTCCGTAGAGTTTTTTCATGTATATAGCTATCCATCTGCAGCTTCAGAGAGAGCCCCGCTCCGACCTTTGTGTTGGACAGTGTTATACTGGTATCTCAGGAATTATTTTCAGACATCTAGGGGGATGTGTTAAGTGACAATAGGCTGGAGTGTGTATAGGGACTGGACTTGGGGGGTTCCCCTCTGTCCCATTTTGTGCCTGGTATAAGGGCCTTCTGCAACCGTCTACTCCTTGAAAAAGAAAAGAAAATTCTATCTGGCATCTTTCTTTTTGTTGCAGTTTAATTAATTCGAATCAATTCAACTCAACAACATTTATTACCATAATGCCATGTATGGAATATGTAAAAGAAAATTTGACAACAAAATAAATCCAAGGAGTAAAGATGCGAAAAAAAATAAAGCAAACAAAAAGAAGACGCTGCATGGTAATAACGGAGGCATTATCAGGAAGACTCGGTCTGGTACAGGCATGCCTTGAACAAAACAGGACAAAACGAGACAATAGGACCGGACAAAGCAACGGACAATACAGTTAAGAGACAGTGACTTAAATCTTAACTGGGATGAGAAAAATTACATTAAGTGAGGCAACATAGATGGCTCATGAAAAAAAATGGTATGATTGAATATAGAAGAAGCTATTCTAGATAACTGGTGAGTTGTTTAGACATTCGCGTTTTGTAGGCTTCCAAAGACAAATGAGGGCGTTGTTGCTTGTACATTACAGGAAGATAATATTCATTCAGGAAATGCACATTTCTGTTGAAATTATGAAGACAACCAGGCTCATCGACAAACATTTTCTAATAGCGCATCCACAGGAGGTACTTGTTAACTAACAGGCGTGTCCATCACAGGCAATTACCAAGCCACGCGTAGCGATACGGCAGTCTTTCATGCAGTGCAAAACAGTGGACTCTTGCTCTGATGTGTGACCGTGTCTGCGCTGCCTTAAGGCTCTTTGAAGTACTCCTGCGCATTAAATCAAACCCAAGCTACAAAGTTGTGTATAAAATATAGTTCTCATGTCGACGTAAAGAGACGCAGACAGTGATACACACGATTGCGGTTACTCTTTACCTAGACACGGAGGCAGACAGTTGGTAAAGTTGGTTCGTGTTGAAATTATTTGCTGACTTTCTAAGTCGATTCTTAACTGAAGAGCAAACCCACACGAGCCGCACACTGGAATGACGGGTGTACTGCGGTGATGCCCCTCTTGATTATCAGTATCATTCTACCCATTTTCCTTGTGACTAAGAAATCCGAATTGATTTTGTTCTAATTTATAAGTTTAAATGCACTAATCAAGCAGAATCTGTGGAAGAAGTAATAATTAAAAAATCAAGTAGGGCCTATACTGCTTTTATCTCGCAGTATATGGAAATATTATAGCCTCCCCAGTTGATCTTGAAAACATTTCATTAATTTTCCCGCCTCGAAGTTTAACTTCACCACTCAAAATAGTCATCATTATATCACAATGCGTCCATGTGCATAACTGTTGCCATCAATAAACAATATTCTTGTAGATATGGAACTCAAGCTTTTTTCAGTCACGAAACAGTCCGCAGAGTACCTCTTTGTCCCCACACAGCCTTTAAAATTCCAAGTGACATACATGTACATATAGGACTCTTGGTAAATTTACAGAATAAGGACGATTCACAATAGTGCGCCTCCAAGAGTTTGCAATGTTAGCCAATCAGAACGCGCAAAATCTGTCGACCCTTTCCAAACGCGCATTGGGTCGACAAATTTCGCACATTGTGATTGGCCAACGTGATGCAAACTCTTGGAAGTGCACTATTGGGAAACGCCCTATTGTTAACATTAACTTTTTGACTTGGTTTAAATGGGATGTGCTTACCAAAGACTGTACAGCGTCGTGCGCCGTTTTGTTGCGCTGTAGTGTCTTTGGTGCTTACCAAAATATTAGTAATACGCCTGCGATCGCGTGTATCTGGTTCGTAAGTGACTTCGTCATAGACGCAGACGCACAGCTGATATCAGTCTCCCATTTGACGAACGCAAAAGTTGCGCGTTATCTTCCGGTTCCATAGTTCCATGTAACTCTGTGTGCAGTGGGCGCGGCGTGGTTTAAACTAGAGTGACGTCACACTTAAGAATCAGATTGTCCAGTCATGTTCGCGCTCATTGTGACGTTAACAACTGTTGCGAACGCTTTTCTTTTGTTTGCGTATATTTTTTTCGCCAACATACTGCAGCCATCCCAACGTCAGATGGTTAATTTGTGTTCTCGCATGAGAGTTGTATTTTCTAGCGATTTTTCGAAGCACTATTTAAGTGTATTCATCAAGGCGAGTCTTGAATATTTTCTACGAATTCGTCGCCTGTTCCGGAAGCAATGTATTCCGTAAAGTTCAAGATATTGAACTTGTTCGTGGTCATCATGGTAGGCTACATTGGCCTTTACCTGTTGAGCTGGGTATTCGTGGAATCATTCCCCGGCCCTTCCAAATACCTACCAGCATTCTTACCATTGAGGCTACCAGATAGTGTCTCCATGGATGGCTGCTGCATCATTACAAATGAGGAGTTCCTAATCCAGCCAGAACCCTCTTCGGTTTTGGCGGATATCCTTCGTCCACTCAACTCAGTGTCTGCAGGTATACCAAGTCTGGACCAAGTCATCACCAACCTGGACTTTATGTTCGACGCCATCATTCATGGGTTCTACCACATGCCGGCATCTGTCGCTTTTGTGTCCTGGTACATTGTACCGGCCACAATCTTTGGGTTCACCAACTGGATGGTATCGTTGAGACGTCATCGCCTCACAAAACACCAGCTCAGTTACGTGCGGGCCCGTAGTTCGGTTCGCTACCATCCGCGATATCGTCCGGTTCCTGCACGTCAGAAGCCACTCACCTTTCGACGCTGGGTGGTCTACCTGGGTATTTATCTTATATCTGGTGTACCCCTAGGGGTCTGGTGGACCTACGGCAGCTCCCTCCAGTTACAAACCCTCATGTCTCAGTCTGGTGCCTGGACTATGCCATGGCTAGCTTGTCATCTCTCGGCTCTACCCCAGCGTATCATCTCAACAGCTGGCATGCACCGACTGAGTCTCCAAAGTCTACCTATCTGGCAAAGTTTAGCCTGCCTTGCCGCTACAACGTCGTTCTTCTGTGGCATTATAATGTCGCGATCGCGTCGTAAAAAGAGGAAGATTCACCGGTTCCCCGTGAGCTACTGGAGGTACCGTATGTGTCAGTAGTGATGTTTGTGATTTCCAAGCAGCACTTAAAACACAAATAAGAATGATTAAACTGGTGTGCAAGCTAACAAGAATGTTACTATTTCGTTACTGTGACCGTGCCATGCATCTTTTTTCAACTCATATTTTTACATTCGATAATATCCAGAGGTATTTATTATTGATTACAAAATACTTTAACGCGCACTTTCCCATCTGAAATCATCAAGGCACACGAGATTAACCCAGCCTTCCCTGATCATTAGTCATAAAAAAATCTTGATTATTTTTGCATAACATCTCACATCAACTGTTCAACTCAACAGGAGGAATCAAGTGCGCGTACCCATCAACCCAACGAGATGCTACGCCAGTGTGTTCGTACACCGAATTCTAATGTATTGCAGCGTCTTGCTTCGGCTCTGCTCGGCTAGCGTGTCTACAAGCTGGTCTCAACTCCCTGGTATTCTGAGGACATCACTCGATATGACCAAGGATGGTCTCACCTATGGTCTCCAATACAAGTCCAAAATTCTTCCATTCCAAAGACCTATGAGGTGGATCCCCCTTACATTTTCAGGACTCAGGCGTAAGCTTGTTTATTGGAGATCATGTGAAGAAATCAAGGAAGGTGAAAGTTTGTTCTTGCCTTGATTTCCAGTCTTTTTATTGGTAAATCCAACTGACCTGCTGGTTAGACGAAATATTTGGTTAATAAAACACATTAAAATTGACCATTTCCTGAAAAACACTAAAAAATCTAAATTTCACAAAGTGAAACATGGCATTTTTCCAACTCACAAAAAATTACAAACATGATAAAAACTAAAAAAAATCACATTACTGATTCGCTGGACCCCGAACCCTTCGTACATCGTACCCTTTCTATTTGAAGATTAAGCGCTGATAATTTTACGGTTTCCACAGATGGGACACAAACACCGACTTGGATGATGACCGCAAAGAACTGGCCTGCCATACTATTGTCGCTGCTCCGTCGACAGATCGGAGTATCGCCGATCTCCCTGTGGAGATCCTGCTGGGTCATTCTTGGGTCTAGGATTGTCCGGATGGTCTACCTGTTTTAATCACTTGTTACGTGCTACCCGGCATAAGTTATGTGCTCCTCTCATTTGCAGCAATCCTATTGACGTTGAGGGGCATACGGAGCATCTCTACACTGAGATACAGATACAAATTTGGTACGAGCGATGTTCCCGGTTCACACTCACTCTAAACACAAGAATCTTTGAGATTGTGCTTTTTCCTTCGGTAAAATTTAATTTAGCGTCTTTTCGTAAATTTTACCAATGTCATATTCTATCGTCTTCAAATACTAGAAAATACCTCAGTGCAACAGTGTTGAATAACTTGTACTTGACTGTGTTTCTCTTAAGCTCACCTGAGAAAAACTGAAACAAAGCCTCGTCTACTGGAATACTCCGATGAGGAATTGGAAGATGGTGACATAGTGAATGAAATAACGCTGCGGACAAGAACCCAAAAGAAAGCAAAGGCGGACGTTTCCTCTGCCAAATGCCGAATAATCGAAACAGGTAAGACTGATTATTAAAATGTGAAAGCAAAATCCCATATTCCTTATCAGGGCAATACGACCAGTCAACATAACAAAACTCTTTCATTTAGATAGATGTGCCAAACTAAATCTGTGCTTCTCTCTCGGATTTCACACAGCGGTGGATATTCGAGACATGTTGGTGTCGATTTTGGCGGCGGTTCATTGGGTCATTAGTCAATATTGGCATGGCAAGAAGCTAAACGTGGACTTTCATTCAGATCAACCCCGTTCTTCCTTACATTACAGCACAGGTAACGTTTGAAATTGGGATATCGGAGTTTCCTTTTGGAATTTGGATGCCAAACTACTATTTATATTTGAAACTGTCTGGATACAAAATGCGGACTTGACGACAAAATTGCTCTTCGTCTCTGCCACATCCAAAGCAAACTAACAAAATGAAAAAAGAGCAATATTTAAAAATAGGTGGCCTATAAGACAATTAATCTTCATTCATATTTTCATATTTGCCCTTTGCTTCTCTGATTTATTTTGTGATTTCTGCGGGCTTGCTTCTTTGTTGCACTTTTGCTTTTTTTATTTTGCTCCCCATAGACCTATTGACTGTGTAACGGAAGAATTCGATTTATTTCATTCAACAGATTTGAGAAAATTTCCTCCAGGACTTACCAAACATGTTTTTCTGCCAGCTGCCGTAAGCCATGGTGACTGGCATCGGTGCACTTGGCAAATTGGAACAATGCTGACTACGGGCTGGCCTGGTCAGTCTCGACTAAGCAGCAGGTTTGCCGTCAACGCTCGTCAGAGGGTACGACAACAGAAACAGAGACGGTCAAATCAGCGGGCCCGACCATGGGGCACGACATCCAGCCCTAGACACCATGCTCAACCTCCGTGGGCACACGGGGAAAGTCCACGGGAGAAGGGGAACAGATCAGAAGGTACAACGACTCACAACGCGGGTCTGCTGTTTAAGGCCCACATCGACAATGTAGGAAGTCATCAAAACACCCCTCCTGCGTTAACACGGAGTCCCTCCCAATTCCCCATCACCGCTATCAGTCTACGCTGACGAGCTTACCGACTGGTAATAGGAACATCAAAGAGGGTAAACAAAAAAATGCACCAAGTCTACCATTAAGAATAGGCCTGCCTGTACTTAAAGGCCCCTTACTACACTTTTAGTCGCTCATTTAATGTCAGAAATTTACGCATAAGTCTGATTAATCCAAAATGTTAATGAGACAGCAAGAACCACAATTACCAATTTCTCATCACTTAATGCAGACTTCAACAGAAAACCCACCGGCTCACAGCAACGACGATCCGTTGTATTTGTTGACGAAGGAACGTTGTGTCAAACAGCTCACATTGTCAACCATCATACTGAGACCACTATCCAACACTCGCTGGTTATCGATTCATCACTGGCAAGTCCGGCAAGGGGCAAGCCTAGAATGCCAATCAAAGGAGTTCTCAGTAAGTTTATTTTAAGGCTGAGGCTCAAACCACTGAGAACAATGGAACTTGGTAAAGCAGTTATGCAGCGAGCCGATCTATATTAATTTTTTTAATCCACCGAGCGAACATTCGGCAATCAGAAAATGCACAGCAAAGCAGAATGACTCTCAATATTCTTTTGAAAAAACAAATCAAAGAGCAACTCTGCAAGTGTTTGAAAAGAAGAAAATGAAAAAAGACAAAAAAATGCCGTGTTCTATTTCAGCAGCTAAGCCTCATCCTCGTCTGTGTGATGCCGCTGCCTTGCCCGATGGTGATAAACAATATGGCAGTTCTTCAGAAGCCAACAGGGATGCCCAACTATGTCGGCAGAAGGCCCTCGACCTGGAAAGAGAAATACAGGTAGAGTGGCAGAATGAGCACTTAAATATCAAGGGGCTGGTTGACACAGAGAAGCGGTTGTTGGACTATAGGCAAGTAGAGAAACAGCAAGATCACATGCAGGCTGAATTGCTTCAAGGACAGATGGAAATGCTACGGCAGCAGGCTGAGCAGGAACACGGAGTTAGTGCTGCCGAATTGCAACACCGCGCTCATCTTCGACAAGAAGCTCAGCTGCAACTGCTCGCTAACCAGCAACGATTAGCTGAACTTGAACGCCAAGCAGAACTAAACCTACAAGCAGAACGGCAGCGCCAACGACTTCAATGCCAAGCTGAACTTCATCGCCAAGTTGCACTGCAGCAACAGGCACACATTCAGCGGCAGACCGAACTTCAGCAGCAGGCATATATCCAGTGGCATGCTCAAGTTCATCGGGCTGAGGTTGAACGACAGCAGCTTCTCTGGCAGGCCCAACTCAGGTGGCAAGCTGAGCAGGCCGAACTTGAGCGGCAGGCCTTAATGCAGCAGCAGGCACGACTTCAGCGGCAGGCTGTCAACGAAAGCCAAGCCTGGGAGACACAAAGACAGGAAGAGGCAAGCAAACAGCTGGCTGAAGCACATAGAAAAGCAGAGGAAGAAGCCAAATTTCAGGCCTGGGTCGTAGAGGCTCAAACTCGTGCCTTAGAGATCGCTGCAGAGGAATGCAGAAGAAACGAGCGCCTCTATCAGCTGAACCGGGAACGCGAGGAACAGGCAATTTGTGAAGGGTACCCAGCACGTCCCCCGGTTGTCAAGCCACCCAAGACAAGAAATAAGAACAATAATGGCAAAGTGTGCAAGAAAGCACAATCTGGATTGACGCAGACTCATTCCAACGATCAGGCCGAGCCACGTGCTGTTCAACCCTACGATCGAGACCAGCTGGAAACTTTCATTCATGGGCCATCCACTCCTTCAAAAAAATGTAGGCCACGAAAGAAAAATCCAGGCCTTCCGTCTCTGTCGAAGGTTATGCTCTCTGGTAAACCCAGAAGGAGATAACTACCTACGGAGTTTTCTCGACATCTATTAGAGGGTATAGGACGACAGACTTCAGCTATGAATAAATTACAGTGGCGAGAGGAGAGTTACTTTGAATAGGTCATCTTCTCGAAAAGGCGGCCAAATCTTTGACCAAAATATCCTGGCATTTTCGTGAAGAGACAAACTGGAACCCGATACTAAACAAGGTTCCATGGAGAGGAGCAAAAAATCAATAAAACTTGAAATATTTTTTCATCTTGTGGGAGACGTCATTTTATGGCGCACAGGAAATGGGCTATTGCTGTGCATGCTGGGCATTAAAAGGTTGTGTCTGTAGCGTTTTTTTTTTTTTTCAGTAGATGGTCCTCCGTTTTAACCAGACAATCATGTTATAACAAATTATCAAAGGACAGAATTCCTCCGGTAGCATGGACCATGTCATATGTGCTAGGCGTGTCATATGTGAATGGCAACGAAGTTTGCCAATGTTTTATCCCTTTATTTGCAACTTAGCCAAGGAAAAAGAGGCTAAACTCTTTTCAATCTGACTTCAATATTTTACGAGGTATGCATTACCTATTTGGACAAGGAAAATAAAAACAGTTTAAGAACAAAATGCTATTTTTCAAAGAAAGGATTTCATAACAGTTTTCAATTACCTTTCCATCTGAATCTACACAATGGAATGAATTCCCTTATATTTGGACAAGACGAGAAAATTGTACAAAATATGAAATCTATTCCCGCTGTGAGTTGCCTTTTTGTCAGTGGCCCTATCCAAGGGCACACACATACTCTAAGCCATAAACTCCAGTTCCTTGCCGATAAAACACCCATATGTAAATCAGGGGAGTCAGGTTGGCAAGGTAGTTCTTTCCTCGCCTTCCATCTCTGTGGTCCCGGGTTCGATTCCTGGCCCGGTCCACATGTAGATTGGGTTTTCAGTCCCTACCTGACTCCGTGGGTTTTACCCAGAATATTCCTCTGGGTTTTCCTCCCACCTCTAAAACTGTACATGTAACTGCTTCTTACTGTCTCCCCTTTACTGATGTTGGTGAATGTAGGTCGTTTGGCGGCTACCCGAGGCGCCCTTGTATGCCATAGGCTCAACCATGTTTAATGTATTCATTGTTCCACGCTTAATGTCTTCATTGTACAGCGCATTTGAAATGAAATTTCCGCTTTATAAATAAACAAATTATTATTAATTATCTCCATTTTCCTTTTTAAACATGGCCTCTCAACAACCACGCACTGACTAAAACAGAATATCTGATACAAAAGATGATCAAAATATGCACATTTAAACTCTTTATTCCATGAGTTATTCACCTAAAAGTAGAATCGGTAGACATTTCAAAATCTTGTTTGAAAAAGTTGAATATTAACTGACGTAATACCATTTCTTCCACAGATTTTTTACATGTATGGGCGTAATACAATATATGTTGTTTTTTTCATTCCATTCATAAAATAAACCAATAGCTGTGTTTTATTTCCACAGGCTGTTCAAGGCTTTACTTTCAAATAAATATTTGATTCGCTTACAAATCACACGTGCTTTTTTGCATTCCTTCAGCGTGTAATTTTCCGTGATGACAGGAGGGCAACATGCTCCCGATTTGAAGCTGCAGGAACTGGTTTTCAACTTCTAATATCAACTGGAGCAAAAAAATGACTGTCAACTTCAAATAAACTGCTACACTCGCGTTTGGTTTTTACAATACCTAATCTTCAATCAGTTGTGTTACCTTGTATTAGGCAAGAACTGCAACATATCCATGGTACCCTGCTACCCCTTGTGACAGTTTCACCACTGTCCAGTAAAACACATGCATTAACAGCATCCCTTTGTGCATGCTGGTACTCAACAAGGAATATCGGCAAGCACATGACGACAAATCTGCCAGTCAGAAGTTTACTCTTTCAGAGGCACGTACGTAGGGTACAGCAAAATGAAGAACTCCCCTTAATAACCCTTAAAGGGACAGGGTTTTTCCCTACAGCTAGGGGTGATCTCAGCTGTCCCATCCTTGATCTTTTTGAAAATTGACATGCATGTTAAACAAAACCCTCATTATGAGTTTCAATTCAATTCAATGTTGGGTTTTGGTACTATTGTCATTTATGTCATTCACACCCTCATGCATATCGGCACACATGCCGGCCTGCATGTTTGAGGCTCATATCAATGGAAAAGTGAACTCAACCAGTCTACAAGAATAGGCATTTTGTAAGAACGGTATATCTGATTTTAATAAAGCTAATGTAAGAATGATCGTAAGACATTACTTAAAACCTCCAGTTGGCACTAACGAATACTTTGCAATGACAATGGAAAAACTGTTGAGGAGAAACACCTGTCCAACTCTTTTGCGATAAATCTTGCGAGCCTCCACTGTTGAATAGGATTTTTTCCTCTTCAATAATATATAATGAACTTCCTCTATACAATGATCACTTTCTCTTCAAAGGCCTCTGCTGTTTTGCCTTTCTGCCTGATGACGGCCCTCCCTTTTGGAGCTCTCGTCCCTGTCCCTTCTTGAAGGGTTTGCCCTTGGTGAACCGGCCCTTTTTCTTGGCCAGCATCATGCTCTTTGGGTCCCTGCCTTGGATCCATTTGTCCCTCCGCATCTCCCAGTTCAGCTGTTTGGCATCTGTCCACACATGAGACAATCCAGCTCATTAGTTCTTATCTCAGCAATGCAACAGACAAAAAGGACATAAAACCACTTCCTTAAAACTGCTTAAAAAAAACATATCTACTGCTATTTGTAAATACTTTTAACACCGGCACGGCTTCATACCCCGAAAGGGTGTACTGTTTCCACTAAGAAGGGAGGGGAGCCTCAAGAAATGAGAATATCTCAGGCCTAAAAATGATTGAACGGCAGTCAGAAAGTAATTTCAACACCAGGGATGAGATTGGAAGAAAATGTGGTATCCACAAAATAATCACCGGAGGTTTAGAGGGCCTTACAGCAGCATAGGGTCTACGGTGGGTTGTGTCCATGTTTCAGCACCTCTTAAAATACCCCTTTCTTTTTGTCAATATCAACTTTTATACACAAAAACACCTTATTGGTAAACTCCAGATATAATAAAAGATTGCATGAAAAATCCTGAAATCAGGAAAATCCTGAGAAGAAAAATCCTGAAATCAGGTATGAATAAAAACTGACAAATCTCACCCCTGCAATACAAAAAATAAGAAGGAACCCTGCGCATTTCATTGAAAAAAAAAAACCTCGAGGTTGCACCCCTTTGATCTAAATTTCCCCTGGTAGATATTTGGAATTTTTGGTTCGTCGTGAAAGTAAAATCCAAATTTGTGCCAGACGAAATTTGCAAATTTTGGTTTAGCACGAAAGTAAAATCCAAATTTGTGCCAGAAGAAATTTGCAAATTTTGGTTTAGCATGAAAGTAAAACCCGAATTTCTGCTAACAAAAATACGTAATTATGGTTGTCTGCTTTTGGTCCACCAGCGTTAGGGAGTAGAGGTAAAATCCAAATTTCTGCTCGAAGAAAATTGGTAAGGGTTTTACTTGTAGTAAATTCTAATTTTCTGCAATCAAGAAATAGGAAAATCGGGATTTCTACTGTTTGGTCCATCATATCCAATACCCTATATTTTGTATAACAAAAAGAGTCAAAATCCAAAAGTAATTAAAACCAGTTGGTAGTTTGATCATCGACTCCACACTAGTCATGTGACAGGATCTTGACCAATAGGAATGGGTGAAATACTTATGAATGAAAATTGAATGTACACAGCTTCATTAAAAAATGCAGTAGAAACACAAGAGCCAATTTGTGCATGTGGTAATGGGATATGCATTGAGATAAGACAGTACAGGTTGTTACTTGAAACAGGTGTATGCGTTAGACCATTACAGCTAACATTTACAATCCCCAAAACAGGCTACATTGACCAATAATAATACCAGTGCTTTAACAGTCATGTTTCTGGAAGTATAAGTGCTACAAGTAACTGCAAAATTTAAAGCCTCCAATTCAACAGACACGTACCTGCATTATCCTTGTTAGCCATGGCATTTAGGCTGATGCTGTCAAACTTGGCCCCAACATGCTCGTCCATTAAGGACGAAAACTGGAGGATGAAACAAAAGGGGACACTGAGTTTATAATACGTGTACCTTGAAACCAAATTGGTTTCAGACAATTTGTGACTTCTTGCATGAACAAGTCCAAGGAGATGGCATACATTTACATGTACAGTGTTTGAAAGAATCACATGCAATTTATTGCAAGCACTGATGGAAAAATCGTCACCAACACCACGAAGTAACACAAATCTATAGATGTGTGCGCTTTAACGCACATTTTATATAAATATGATATTTTTGTTTTCACAAAGAGACACAAATGTCTTGCATCAAGTGCTCCAACATAACATGTACGCAATGTGTACCAATTAGGACTATTAATGATCAGGATAGACAGCATTTATTTGAAAATGCTCTTTTTTGTCTAATTGAATCTCATTTCCATACAGAGAGACCTGCCAGTAAGACATAATCATGAGAAACAGGAAACTAAAATTACTCTATCTAGGAAAAGGTGAGTTCTAAAGAATTCCTTGAAATGTCCTAAATAGTTTTTAAATATCCAACTGAAGACAGAAAAATGTTCAACTCATTCAACCAGCAACTGAGACATTTATGCCACCAGCTTTATAGTGATTTGCAAAACAAATTGAGAGCTCATTGACTTTTTTATCAATTTTGTGAATGCACAAAATATACTCTTTACCACTGAAACTGTTCCCTCCCAATCAAATGAAAGCCAGTTGACAGGATATTAAGAAATCATCACCTTTTTAAACAAAAAATGGGCACAGATTTTTCAACCCTCCCCTATTGTATATTTTGAGCAACTGTGAAAAGATAAAACAGAAAGTGGATGACCCCCGAAAGGGTAAGGAATGAACAGAGGTTGGATCTTGATGTACAGTACATATGTAATGTATCTGGCTCAGTTAGTCTGTCAAAGCAAAAACCTTCATCTCAGAGGTTGGATGACCTATAGAAGCAAGGGTGCCGCAATGTGCAAAGGAGAGGAAATAATGAAAAGCAGTTTCATTTTTAGAGGTGAGAGGAAAACCCCAGAGGAATATTCTGGGTAAAATCCACGGAATTATGTACGGACTGAGACCCGATCCACATATGGACCGACCTGGGAATCAAACCTAGGATGCAGAGGTGAAAGGAAAAAGAAAGACCTGTTTCCCCTGAAATGACACAACATGCAAAGTCTGCTTATCATCCTGGCAATTGATTTATAGAATGAGATGCCAGACTTTAACAGTTCCTACCTCTTCCGCTGTTGCCTGCAAACTGCCTGCGCTCTGCATGGCCCCATCTCCTTTCCTCCTCTTCTTGCCGCCTCTTTTAGGAGGCTTCCCGCCTTTCCTCTTCGCCCCGCCCACAGCTCCCAGGAAGTCCATCTCCCCTTCAGAGTCGGAGTCGTCACCAGCTTCAACTTGCCTGGCTGGTTTCTTAGTCTTTCGCTTGGCTGCCTTAGCTGAAGGAAGCTCCTCTGAAATACGTCAAAGCATTCTGAATTCAAGTCCAATTCTAACAATTGTGACCAGATAGGAAGAAATTACGGTTAGGTCTTGAATATGTTCCAGTAACTTACTTGTATCCGTCCAAGCATAAAAAAATGTGCGTGATCAAACTTTGAGCTAGTAATGTCAGGGAATGTTATGACAACCAGTCCTATATTCTAATAGTAATGCCAACACTGGGTTCAAGGTTTTGCGTGACAATCTGTCTTTGCAAAAGATCTTCGCCAGCACAAATCTGCAATGTTGCACTGTGTCTTCAATGTGAAATAAATCCTTGGATGATTGGATATCTAGTATAACTGCTAATTACTCTAAAAAATTTTGACTAATCTGGGAAACAGAACTCTGATGCAATTTTTATAAAGAATGTTTAACATGTACATGTACAGAATTCAATTGTATCATAAAAGGTGATATAAAATGGACATTACTGCATACAAGTATACGGAAGTAAATTGCTTTTTCTTGAACATTGCGAGCAGTATTGGGTGCACAAATGATAGAAAATTAGTCCTCTTGCATGTGTCTCCCATATCTCATTATTTTTGTATGTACTATTGACAAAACCACGTCATCTCTCTTCTTCCATATGTTACGCCATTTGCTTCTTTACTTAACCACAGGGAGAATGTAGCAAACAAACATTTTCTGACCTCATCCAATACATGACAAGAAAATAAATAAACAATGTCACAACTGACCTGAGGTGTCTGATTCCCCAAACCCCTCCTCATCAAATTCGTCGTTCTCAATTGTGAATCCATCATCACCATCGTCATCATCATCCCCTCCAAAGTCGCTGTCATCACTGGCATCAGGGCCGTCAAAGTCCTCCTCACTCTCACTAGAATCCTCCGTGGATGCTCTCCCCTTCTTCTTTGTCTTAGTTTCCTTCTTCCGGCTCACATCACTGAAAGGCAAAATCGCATGCGCATGCACAAATCAAAACGTCCATTGTGGACACCATAAAATGCGATTTTTCCAAGACAAGTACACCAAAAAACGAGTTGTGAACTACAAAACGACCACGGCAACAAAACTATATTGAACTGAAATGAACCTTTAAGGTTTGAAGGTTCATCAGTTTCCTCAGTATCAAAATCAATTAACAGTAGAAAAATAGTTCCAAGCTTAAAAATAATGCAACAATCTAGCGATAGTAAAGAGAGTGATAAAGATACTTCACAAGGGCCCTGTAGAAGGCAAAGCTTTTAAGCATAATGAACCCAAGAAGCTCAGTGAGCCTAAACCAGGCAAAAGGATGTAACATATAAGATTGAATATGTGTTGAATGGTCAGTCACAAATTACACAAGATAGGGCTCAGTGAGTGTGCTGTATTTTATGTACATGTGATTAACAAATTACCTGAACACATTCAGGTACAAACTGACAAACGCTACAGATCAATTGAACTGATCACAGGTGTACTCATAATGAGCCTTTTTACATGTACATGTATATGCCAAGTTTTAAAAGAGCGGGCATGGGGCAGCCAACATCTTTAGCGGCAAATTCTGATCCCCCCCCGTTGCAAGATGGTCTGACAAAAAGCTCTTTTAAAGCTAAATGGGTTCTGATTGCTTTCAAGTGAACTTCACCTCTTAAATGTGGTTACTGCTCCCAAACTATGTAGTCCTCTGACACATGGCCAAAATTGTGCAGCCAAAAACAGAACAAAGTTTTGGTTGGGCTTGGGCCGTCTTTACCAAAAATTAATTTTTCCAAGTTCTATCTTTTGCAGAGAAAACTCACCCTGCAAAGTCCACGACATCATCATCGCCTTCTACTTCTTCATCTTCCAAGTCCATTGTTTCTGTAACAAGCCCAAATTGAAAAACAACCTTGACCTCAGCCATGCCAAACTGTGGAAATGTTCTGCTTAAAGTTCAAATAATTAAATAACCACTTACCCGTTTGTTGTGCTTTTCATTTATAAAAATGTCAGCAGTTGTGCATTTCTAATTGATCTTCAGAAAAAGTAGGCTCAGAATGATCACTTTCTCAAAGTTCTGTTTCTTTTCAACTCTGTTGAGAGCGCGGTGACTTTCTCAAATGAACCACTGCATACTTCACTTGAAATTAGCCTACAGATGTGTGGATGAACTACAGACAATATGAATAGGGAAACCAAATTGCCCTAGAAAAAAATCATCAGCATAGAATATTTGAGGAATTTTTTTTTATAAACTTCATCAAGCCCAGAAACCAACCAAGAATCCTGTCAAATTCATCATCGTCGACGCTAGATGCATCACTGTCAAACTCAAAGTCATCATTGCCACCGTCCTGGTTGTCAATTCTGTCTTTTCTTTCATCTGTGACAAGCAGGGCTTTCTTCCCCTTTGAGGTGAAATACCTGCAAACACAATGAGACAGATTCAGCTGCAAACAAAAGCAGACTCTTGAAGAATGCACACAACGTGCAGTGCAGACATCTTTGTCGATACGAAGCTTAGAAATTGCATTGAGGCTCTGTGGACAATTAAGCACGGATAGGTAAGAGAATCATGACGAGTTCTGTGGTTTCGTGAACCCGACCATCAAACTCAAGATATGCATGTTGCTGGAAAGGTCCAGCCCATGGTGTTCTGGTGTATGTGTCCCTCAGCAAGACACACTGTCAAACATGCCTCTCTCCATGCAGACGTAAAATGGTTACCTGTGACATCTTAGATAATTACCGGGTACCATATTTAAATTAAGCATTGGCACCTGAGATTGCAGCATTGTGTTCACGCTGGAGTTGACAGGCTTTGACAAACATTTTAAGGACCTAAGGTGGGTTACTAAATAGTATCAAGCATTCTCCACTTTTCAAGTGGACTTAACATGAGTTTTCATGCAAGATACAATCAAACCCATGTCAAACCACATATGCTCATTTCACATACACAATTTGGACTTGTAGCAGTTACCAACACTCAAGCTATTATGCTCCTTTTTCTACCTGTAGGCCAACTCCTTTAAGCTAGAAAATTTCCTGGTATATTCCTCTTCATTTTTTCCATAGGTAAGCTTGACCCCAAAATGCTCCCGAAGCTGCTTTTGAAAGGGGAAAACGCTCTGTGGACGTGTCCAAGTCCACACAACATCTTCTTTAAAACTCTACATTACGTGGACTTCTTTTGTGTGGAGGTCCACACTGTGTATGCCACTCTTGCACACAAGAACCTCTGTTTGGTTCCTGTGGATAGCTCAGTCATGTTTTTCAAGATTCAATGACCTGTAAAGCCTTGACTTTGAAGACGAGCTTCCTTGTTAAATCATTACTTCCAAACATACTTGTTTTCAGCTTTTGCTTTTTTGCATCTTTTCTGCAGTGTGGCATGACATTTATACACACTGGAATGCAGCATCCAAGGCCTAACAAAAAGATCCAAGGAGCATTCTCTGAAAAATAACTACCCTGAAAGAGTGCTATAGATAAGGGAGTTAGTACTTGTGGAAGAAGAGTTCATCGATGGGGATCTTTTCTGCAGCGGTCTTGAGGTAATCCTTGGTGTTGACAGCCAACAGTCTGATAGCAGATGGCTTGTAGGCTTTGTCTTTAGGTTCCATGATAGACTTCTTGACTGCAATGAAGAGAAAACACAGGAAACCACAAAAAGATAGATAGTATTTCAATATAATGCTTCGCACACCTTAAGGGATTTAATGCATTAAAGGCACATCTCATTGATATTTTAAGTGTTAGTGCACCATCTCCATGTACACTTGGGTGTCCTCTGTTGAGCGTATTCATAGCAATTCATGGCATCCACCATGTATAAGGTTAGGTTACTGCAAATATGCAAGAAACAATTCATCTTGTACTGCACACTGCATGCCTCGATTGTGGGATATGACTTTGTCATTAACAAAATGGTTCACTGGTGCTCCATACTGGTCTTGAAAAGACCTCCTTTTTCACCAATGCTGGTAAAATCAAATTTACAATATAACATGAATCCCCTCTATGTTTGGACTTGGGAATAAGCCTTGGGTGTTAAACAGCTCAAAGCATATTTGTAATATCATTTTAAAGCCTGGTGGTCTACCTGCAGAAAGTAGACATCAAAATTGGCCAGTTATGATTTATTAAAAACACAAGTTAATGGGAGCAGAGTGAACCAAACCTGCAATACTTGATTTTTCCCGCAGTTGGAAAAGATGAAGCATAAAAACCACTTTAAAATATGCTGCAGTTTAAAGTTCATGAATCTTTGCATTAACTTCAAGAGCAAAGCGTTGTCCTCAATTCAACTGTTAACCTCCGAGATTTTACATTGCGCACTAGCAAGTAGAATATCAAATTGGCTGAAGATGGAATGAAGGTAGGATATCGAATAAGCACTTGACGGAATAGACTAAGGAGTAATGTTTAAATCTCAAGAGCATCTACCCCTTTCTGTTTGCTTCTTTGGGTTTCTGTAGACAAACCGATCCAGGAAACGCATCTGGGTGAAGTCCTGCAAGGGGTTGCCCGTGTAGTGCACCTTCAGACCCTCGCGTATCGTCTGGGCAAAGAGCGCCACCGTGGGATGGTAGTGATTTGCCAGCTGAAATTGTCACGAGAGAGATTTTTATTCAATACTCTGCAATACAGTGGCTATGTGTATCTTTACCTTTGTGGGGGCATTTACATAACACACAATATGATGCACGTAAAGCACGCAGCAATCATCAATGTCAAAGGGTCCAGCAAAAAACTACAATAGAAAAACTGTTTGGCAATCCGAAAGGAACCGGTGATTTTAGCTTGATGCTTCAGGATATGCTTGAACAGCATCTTTCTTCTGCAGTGCTTATTCACACTTAACATGGTCACCTGCAAAAGTTTGATCAAATGTGCTGCAAAGGTGTGTTTAAAGAGATATGAAACCATTGAAAATCCAGGTAACCTGAACAAAGTGGATTGAAAAACGTGCAACATGTACCTGACCACTTGTTGATGGTGCAAAGATATGGCTCAATAGCTCATTGGCACAGAACCAGCAAGGTAAAAGTGGAGGTTGGGCACTTAAAACCTCATTCCCAATGATTTGTTTACATGTAATCCAAACCCTGTTACCATGGTTACTACTGACCAAGTGCCAAGTGTTTATTGAATCGCAATTGGTCACGGGGCACCAACTTCCAAAGTGCTAAAGATCGCCAACTGCACTTTTGTAATGCAATATTATGAAATAAACTGATAATATTCAGAGCAGTGTTATGTTCACATAGAGACAGAGACAAGGTAGTTTGTTTCTACCTAAAGGGCAAATCCTCACAGGGCACACTGCCTATACAAATTCATGCTGCTTAGGATAAAATCATTCTGGAGAATGTTTTCACAGCCCCGGACCAGAAACTTCAAAGTCACAACCTGAAACAAGTTTAAGGTGGCCTCCAGAAATGGTTATGTCATCAAAGAGAGAGATAAAGTACCAGTTAGCAGAAGGTGTTGTGGACAAATGTCATTTTCACTAAATAGTTAGCAAGGTTCTTACAGCTTCTGCTCTTAAGCATTCTGGAAGACACGCATTTTGTTTCCCTGCATGAATAACATATAATATTCACTTCATGTTGGAGATGCAACGCATGTGTGTATACTTTCTGCTGTTTGGAAACAGCAATGAACAAACTCCAAACTCTTGGTTCCTGTTTGGCTGGAACAACAATGTCACAAAGACAGCAGAATTCACAATTCGCAACCAATAACTGAAGCAGAAACATATTTTTGGTCAGGGTTGAAAAAAACAGCTCGTGACAAAAACCAAGAAGCTCAATCACCTTTGAACATAAAGCAAGCTGTTGTGCACAGTGCTGCTCTAAGCTGGGTTTTTTCCAAGTCTGACAATAACCATGCCGAATTGCAAACACTAGAATGAACTCACTTTGGTTAGTTCCCAGAAGACACTCCCTTCAGCTCCGCAGAACTGTGGATTTCTGTTGATTGGGTCATACTTTGTCTTCTTGTCTGAATTTTTACATGAATGTAATAAACAAAATTGGAGGAAAAAATCATGAAAACAGGAATCTGAGTACTTTCATTACGAGGCTAAAAATACAGGTGTATAGGAAATAGAATGTTTTGATTGTGTATCTTCATGTCAACCATGATTTGTAAGTGGTTACATTAAGCGGTTTCTAATTATGGCATTTCAGACAGGCTGACAGAAGTGTAAAATATACCATCAAACTATGAAGTTATTTTAAAAAATGGCTAAAAAAATGTGAAATAACTACTAATAGTTTCAATACTGATAATGCAAAAATTACAGCATACACTTATCCTATTAGAGCATGTGTATGGAAAGTAAAAATGCTTGTATCACTGAAAACATGGAAATTGGGGTCAAAGGTTGCTCTAGCTTGGCATACTGTCACAAACAGTTGATGTAAAAGTGTGTGTAGAATGCCACAGCAAGGTATTACGACAGGAACATCTGAACAGCAAACTTTGGCTAGATGAATAAACATGAGAGATTACTTCAGGCACAAGAAGTTACACCTTTCAAATACACCTCAGAGGTCAAAGTTGAGAACAAAATAAGCAACTCTTCAAGAATGAGACAATTGTTTCAATAATACCAGGATTTTTAATCTTGTGATGCACCCAAGACGACGCCGGCTCCAAAGTGTCTTTTTCAACATCCCTCTTTGCCTTATTGTCTCTTGCCATGTCTTCTTCATCGTCAATGTCCACAAAGTGTTCCTCGTCGTCAGAATCCTGCTCAAGAATATTCAGAGTCAGGGATCTCAACAAAACAGTCTTTAAAATGAAATCCCTAAGGGGAGCTGTGATTCACTATGCAAATGAACAAACTGTACACAAGTAGTGTCTTGTCAAGTTGGACTTAATCAGCAGTTATCAATTCAAACATATGTAATCAACATGAGCTTTCAGAAATGACCATCTGATAAAACACATTTTTTTCAGTCCATTTTGTTAATGTCACAAATTTTATTCCACTTTTTCACATCTGATGAACCCAACTAGCCTTCAATATATGCAATGTGTAGTCTGTGGCAAGTTTATTTTCTTCTTCAATTGCTAGATACTCTTCCAAGTTTTCTAAGACAGCTCAGTACACATCTGCAGCGTATTTTATATCGATTGTTTTTTGCTATAAACATTTGACCCAGTACACTGCGAAAAACGGTTCGGCCACTGAAAAGACAGAGACTGACTTACCACGGCATCCATGGCTGCGACACGAAGCGCTGGTTTGGAGTCCATGATCTCAGACACTAGGAACAGGGCCCCGCAGACAAATGGTGGCTGCTGGGTGGAGCATATCTGCAGAAGCCTCTTCACAAATGCCTGCGGGGAAACCCCAGAACTGCAGTTACAAGTTCAGAAAGGTGTTTTGACCTGTGGCAAAACTTGGACAGGAAGTAATTCTATCTTTGATCATAATAAACACCAGCAGCTTGGATGGTGCACCTGCTAAATATTAGGAAGGATTTTAGCCAGGAAGGGGGTTTAGTACGTAGAACAGGTTTTAAAAAGAAGAGTAAACTTGGCAGTGTTTATGACACTTGAAATCTGTGATGGTCCAATATGGAATGCCATATACTACTTTAATGCCGGCACAAGCAAGCAGGTTGAACGGAACGTGCTGAACTCCTATAAAGGATTGACGGACAAATGCCTTACTTTGATTCTGCCAATGATGGCATCTGCTCGGAGCGACTGGTAGAGAAGATTCAGAAACATAGCTTGCCTGGGTGAGCTCTCAACGCTCCGATCTAGCAGCTTACTGTACAGAGCCGAGTAGAAGCGGTCAGAAATGGTTTGCCTGAAAAGCAGAAAAGGCCGGTAAATAAAAACTGTAAGGAAGGGCAACAGACAGCAGCAGCTAGTAGGACACCTTGTTGTAACTGCTTCCAAAAGTGAAAACTGTACGTCGTGAGATTTAAAGATGCTAATCAAATACAAACTCAGAGGCTGTAGGGTGTGCGTGTTCATGTCCGAAAACCTTTTACTTCATTCTTTGCTCTTTAAAAGATTTCATCTGAAGTTACTGACATACATGTAACAGAAATAGTGAGACATGATGGTCACAACTGTTATGCTTAGGATCTATTCTCTTATTTTGGAAACAGCAATGAATTAAGAAATCCAAGGAAATTCCAAACTGTACAAGATTTGCACACAGTTTTTTAAAATGTCATACATGAGATGTAAAAAATGAAATTGCGAGAATAAGTGATCTCAGGAAAAGTTGCATGTCTGTAACTTGAAGATAAAACATGGGTATCATATTTCAACATCAACAGAAATTTCAGCTGAACACTGGCAGAATCTTCTTAAGTGACACGGTCCTTTCATTGCTCATGGACACATCTATTGCAGGTGAATTTGCAAGAAGTTATACTTACTTGGAATCCAGAACCTGCTTCAGCAGCAGCAATGCCTGGATGCCAGTGTTGAAGGGTGCAATGTGGACCACTTTAAACAGGGAATCCGTCTGTTCACCTACTCTCTCATCTCCAACTATTAGGAAAAACAAAATTCCGACGTCATTATTCAACAGTTAATGAAAAACAATCAAAGAGCTGAAGCCCAACATGACAAAGTTGAAACTGACCCAGTAACTTATTGTACGTTGCCTTTTTAATAGAAAGACAAAAAGAAACATGTTATCCTAACAAAACATCAAATGATGGTCTCTTCAAATGTTGGCATTTGTCACATAGTAAAGTTACCTCAACTCTAGATTTGGCAAGTTTTACTTGGCTACAAACAATCCACTCTACTGCATGAAAGCCAACAACTGCACAAAGCAAACTTAAAGAAAGGTCTTCTTTTGAAAAAAAAAGTCAGGAAAACTTTAGACTGCACTCTTAACATCTGGCACTGTGTTGTAATGCTTAAACCATTCCATAACTATAGTCCATCATGGATTTGGCTCATCGTGGATTTGAGGATGCATAGCTGAGGTAGCGCCAGCAGACATGTTTACATATCTCCTATGATTATTTTTTTAATCACATAATCATACACTTACATGTAGAGGAAAGGATTCCCCTAACCATGTTGTACTTTTTGGAATGGTGGCTACCTGACGTTCACACACTGTATGATTCAGTCAGAGATGTGCATGAATGTACATCATCCGATTACGAAACCAGACTAAAGCCTTTGAAACTATTTGTGCGATTTTCCTTCAAATACTAACCATTTGAGAATGGATATGCCCTGTTTACTCCCGTCAGCACAGCTCCCAGCATCTTCTGCTCTGCATCCTGTTTCCTCATGCAAGCCTGAAAGAAAATATACAAAAAGCTGGCAAAAGCATGGACCTATGCATAAACATACAATAGGATAAGACTTCTTAAGTGAACTTGATATACTGTGATGGCAGTTTTTATGAACACTTTCTTTTTCCAAGAAATTTTAAAAATCTGTAAAAATCATTCCTGGGAAAAGAAGTTGTCAATCACGTTATTTTATCTGTGCTGTTTCGCTGACAACAGAAAAGAGCAGCAACTGTACGTACTCACCAAATTTACATTGCATGTGTGCACACTTGGATAATCAACCTGCCTCCACCGAAACCCTGCTTAGTAGTTTCGGTGGAAAGAATCTGCCAATGTCTACAAACCTTGAAAAATGAGAAGTAAACTACAATCAGTTTAGTAGCAAGGTCTGGCTCATCGTGGCTCAAGATCAGCTGGTTCAGGAAACAGATGGCGTAGTATCTGGCAAGAACAAAGGGTACAAGTACGGCATAACAAGCATGAGGAGTCATAATTACAGTTTTGCTTGAAATATCATTTATTTAACCACGTAAACCTATAACTATGGGTAAATCCACAAATACATCTCCTTTTAGATCCATAAATAACTCCATGTTTTAATAACAGAATCCTCACAGAGACTAATACGGAAAAATTCTGGTGAATGTTCTCCATCCAGACGAAACAAGAGAGAAGTGAAAACATTGAAATCTGCAGAAGTCTTCAGAGCACATAGATTGCGGCAAGAAAATTTGAAGCAGCAAAAAACATTGTACTACATTTATCATAGGTGATTATGAACATGGTAAAATTAGAAGTGGGGAGCGTTGAGGTGAACCAAGGTGACATTGCATATTTGTACCTACGCTGAGAAGAGATGTAATTCAAGTGTCTCGCTTACTGTGCTTTGGAGCTGACATTGGCTCTGTAAAGCAGTGACTCTACTTCACTGACTACAACACCTTTCATGTTGATGTGCACCTCAACTGTCGTCCAAAAAAAAAAGGAAAACAATATTTCATTTTCATAAATTCATTAACTTTGGTGGCTGCGAGGATAGGAGTGTCCATTTTGTCGAAGCGATGCCTGGAGTTCATTAAAACCAACTGAAAAAATTTAAATTTAAGGCTCCTAGATGCAATCGGAAGGGGGGCTGTCACAAACCTTGGGGTTGAGCCTGCAAAGAAGAGGCAGGCCGTGGGATATTTTTTAACTGGGCTCGTGCATGTGCTCGGCACACACAAAGGGCCGTGCATCCAAACAGAAATTATTTTAACAAATATTTTAAATTAATGTTTCAGCTTGAAATCTGTAGGAGTTCTCTTGCCGTCATCAGGATCAATCAGTGGACTGAAAGGGGGGTGAGGTCGGTGAATTTGGTCTTGGTGCTATGTTCAGCTCCAACATGTCTACATTGACGGTTGATCATCATGTAAACAGTTTGATGCATAGGCCTTAGAAATCCGTCTCAGTCACAGGTGCCAAAATGAAGGTTCTCAAAATTTGAAAAAGCCAATTGACAGGCATTTAAAAGCAGGATTTCAGAGTCCATAATTTCCGGATTTAACGAGGTAATCAGTTGTTATCTTGCTGTCTCAAATCATGGGCAATAATCTGCCTCTACACCAATTTTCAGAATTCCAGCTGTATTGGAAAAGAGTATTTAGGCCTTCAATGATACTACAGATGAGCAATTCATGGGATTGCCAAAATGTGGCACTGCACCCAGACTTTCAAAGGCGATAACAAGAAAACTGTTACAAATACCACACTGAAACTTCATTTTGCTCCATTGGGTATGTGAAGGTATTTTTAGAATTTTTCAGGCTAAGTTGAGTCACATGGGAGGGTGTTCGGATTGGCAAGGAATGATCCCATGCAAAAGCACACCATTTCTTGTTCCTACAAAGAGTGAATAATCTATCAACACTCTAAGTGATATAGTTTCCATCCATAAGGCCTGTGTTCATGGTGTCCGTGCACGCTAACAAGCCGCTTTCAGTGAGTTCATGTAGAGTGCCGTATCCTGTCACTGCTACTGTCCAAATAAACAGCAGCACGCAAGGCTAACCTGTCACTCACCTAGCTTTTGCAAGAGGTGAACAGCTCGGGCAGCAATCTTGTAGTCTGGATCTCCAATCTTGTTGACCAGTAACGTCAACAGCGCCTTGACAAGTGAGAAAGACAAGCACAGTCTACATTGTTGCCAGAACGCGGCAGAATTTTACACTTCTGTTTAAAGTTAAGTTACGGTGTAATCTGCATGGTATCCGTGTGAACTTCCAGCAACGGTAACTTTTTGCAATTTAAAAGTGTATGGTACATTCCAGTAATTTTCTGCATATACACAATGAACATACGTGTAAATTTTATCAGTGAAAATAAAAACAACACAATGATATTCAACAGGTAATGGGTACAAATGCCTGTACAGTCTACAAGTGTAAAGAAAAATGGATTTGGGAATTTTTTCAACGTGTATGTTCAAGATAAGCCCATTTGGTAGCTGTTGTTGTGCAGAGTTAAAAATCTCCACCGGTAAGAAAGATTCGTTCAAGTCATTCGATATTTGTGTTGAGACTAGGTAAGGTCTTTTGTCAGAAAAGATAGTAAAGCTTCTAGGAACTTCATGGGTTTGTAAACTCAATCTCAATTCACAGGAGACTCTTCACCTTCTCTTGCTCTGGTTTGTGACTCAGTAACTCATGGCTTGTACTCATAGCTTTCTGCTTCACGGCCGGTATGGTGTCATGCGAGAGTTTCTGAAAACGGTAATGGAAACACAAACATTAAACAAAATTGCAAACATTAAACAAAACCCTTGCATTTCTGAATTGAGTTAACAAAAAGCTTTCTTGCCACTGTGGATTTTTGAAATTAATGAGCAATAACCTCAAATGTGAAACATAATTTTGAGAACTATACCGTGAATACGTTTTTCAGATTGCAGATTCTGTGACATATTAGGGAATGCTGTGTATCTTCCAAGAATCATTAGTCAACTAGCAGTCAGATGAAAAACTGTAAATCACTGCACTTAAATGACAATAACACAAAAACAACAGGCATAATCACCTGAAGTGTTGTGACAAACTCCAGGTACTTCTGCTTAAGTTGATCTTCATAATACCATAAAAGCAGTCTTTTATTTCGCTCTTCACGCTTTCCTTTGCTTAAGTCATTCAGTAGTGTAAATGGATGCTGAAACAAAAACATTCGCAAAGGTTCAGTCAGTGGGTTTATACACGTATTTAAAAATGTACTTGACTGGAGAAGTGTGCGATAATCTGAAATTTGTCTTAAGCATAATGGAACACTTTGAACACATGTTTCACCATCAGGTTTTATTGCATATAATAGTTAATAGTAATTGTGAATTGAAAAAGGGATGAACAAACTTTTTGGCAAGCATTTTGCTTAAAGAGTCTGTAAATGCAAACCCATTTCAAGATATTGGTAACATAAGTTTAAAAAATGCCAACCTTTGTAGGAAATTCACTTTATTTCTACAGACTTTTCAATATTTCAGCTGTGGGCAAACTCTGTTTTTCCACGTCTTATCCACTACAGCAGAAATTAATTTCCAAACATGCCAAAATAAACATTCCAAAATTTTCTGCATGGGCAAAGCAACCAAATGACAATTCTGTATACTCCTATGTACAAGTAACAAATTTGTTTGAAAGCTATGCTCTGTCTTGAAGGAAAATGTCACTATGAAACTTTTGAAAGATCAAAGTGAGATTTTATTTGATTTCTCCTGTTAATGTGAAGCACCTATTTAAGACAAGTTGAAAGACAAGTGTTTTCTCCCAAGCCTTCAGTAATGCCTGAGTTTGTCAAAACTTCTTGTTCAAATGTTCACTCTACCTGGGAGAAGAGTCGGAGTTTCCGTCTCTCCGGCAACAGCTCTTGGAGGAAGAGCTGCTTGAGGGCGTCCATGGCAACCAGCGCCTCCCGCCTGCCTTTCTTCTTCACCATGGTCAGGAGGCTATCCAGGGCCACCGGAGTGTGAACAGGGGCCGTCTGCACCTGGAGGGTCAAGGCCGCAACTTTGTCAGTCAGCACGCCAGAGGAGACGACGGTCTGCATCCACTGTGCCTTGGTACTGGCATCGCTTTTCTTCCCTTACGGGTTGAAAAATGAAAGCAAACAGCAGCAAAATAATGTCAAAATTAGAGTCATTAGGCCACAAAAAAAGATGTCTCTAGACAGCACAAGTGTTACTGTAGACCTGCGCATCGGCACAGTTTCTGTTTTTCTTCCTTTACCTTTTTGTTCAATTAGGACTAAACATCAGTTGGACTCCCAGCCTCCACTGTAAACTAGGGGGCAGACCCCTCTCCTGAATCTCAACCATTGATCAGTAGACCACCATACATTGTAGAATCATGCATATTTCGTTTCTCCTCTTGGTATAACAAAATACTTGAATATATTCAATCGAATGGATGGTCGAATATTAGTCAAACTGAATCAATTGTTGAAAACAACCTACATGTACTCACTTGATATATAAAGCTGGATTTCATTGGCATACAATCTGCCAGCGAGCCCCTTAAATGCAGCAACAGTGCTACCATCAGACATTTCAAACTTCTTAGGATCTGACTGGAACTGAATCAAAAATAAACACCCAAAGGATAAATGCAAACTGCCAAAGTTACATGTGTGTCAATGTCAATTCAGGTATACTCTTGGAGGCAAAAAGTAAAGTTGCCAAAATGATTTCCCCAAGATATGCAAACCTATTCTAAAAACATCCTGCATACTCAGATATTGACATACATCAATACAAAATGAGCAAGTCAGAATCAGTATGTTCATCGCTGCTCTCTCTGTGAAGTTTTCACTCCATGCACAGTAAATGTATGCTGTTGAGCTTGATCAGAAGATGCCACAGTATATGTACATGTACCAAATGACTACACGGTTCCCCCACCATTACTGTAGGCAAGTGTATGGTATCAATCATATGATGTACGTGTGCATCATACAAGTACATGTGTACGTTGTAAGTGACAGTGGGGCAGGGACTGGTTTTACCATAAATTACCCTCAGGTCTTAATCAAATGGCATACTGGCGACTACAAGTGCCATATACAGTTGCCCTTATTGTGTCGATCCAGCAATGGATGCTGGCTCTGTATTTTTCCATACTTTTCATAGGTGTAAAACTTCATACTACATGTCAAAACTATGTGTGGTGCCACAGTCTTTGCCTACACCAATGGTAGATATACAATGTATGTACATGTACGTCAGGGTACGTGGGTCAGTGACAGCACTCCAAGTTTGCCCTAAGAAGGACCAACAGAAGGCACAATTTTCATAGCAAAAGTGGCTACTTTGGTGCAAACTACACTTCACTGGTTCACAAACGTACAAGTACTATATGCACGTTATACCAGCTGGAGAATGCACTAGACTGGTCCTGATTCCGTTCATGTGCCTCTGTTTATGGACAATCATGCAGCAGAAAGCAGCCTTCAAGAAAGGATATTTCATAGGCGATGACTGGAACAGGCTTCCAGAGCTACGGCTATGTATGTCTCCCATCAGCGTGTCTCCAAATATTTCCAATGGAGCAAAGACCTAGGTCTACAGCAGCTCTAGACAACACATTGGGGCACAGCTGTTGAACACTTCCTACCAACGCTGCTCTTTTCATTGAATGAGGGGGTGCTTCTGCTCAAGCCAACAATATAAAAATCTGGCTGTATCCACATTACGTGGCTGCAGCTGCAAGTAACACACTCTCATGCAAACTGCTTACTGGCAGCCTCCAGTATTTTCCATAGACCTGTATTTTTTCCGGTCATACCACAGCAGTTTGGTTGCAGCCTTCTTTAAAGGTAGTCCATCATTTGTCACTTATGCATTTTTAAGGGTGAAGAACAAACCTAATGAAGTTTCAGCCCAGTGAATACGGTATATTCTCAGAAAAACTTTATTCTAGGATTTTGATTTCAGATAAAAAGTTGCTGAGTCGTGTCTTGCATTGTGCCTGAATTTAGCTCCTGGGACACGTTCCCACGTTCAGTGGAATGCAGCTACGCAATGTCACAAACTGAACCAATGAATTATAATATAACTGCATGCAAGTATGTTGGGTCAACCCTTGCGTGCACATGAATTTTCAAAAACTGCATGGTTCAGACGCATCACTGGAAATGGCCTTCTATCATTGTTTTCTTCTAAATGACAGCTTGCCAGAAAGAATCATTTCAAAGGGTGTTTAGTCCCATAATCATTTTAAAACCAAGTATTCTTTTCAACAAAAATTTTGTCACGTGGTGCCACTCCGTGGAACTTGTATGTATTTGGTTTTTGTTAAAGCCTTGAATAGACTGATCTGCCTTAACTGCAGTGGCACCACACTCAAGTACACATACATTTGGCAAGTCACAGCAACAGCATCTTATTGTCCAGAAGCGTTGTGCCATCCAATGATGGCTTCTAATTCTGGTCGTCGAATTACACTAAGGAACAAAGTTGTCCTATTAAAAGGCAACTGCTGTTTCTGTTGAGGCGAGCAGACAACATCCCCTTGAGACATAAAGTTCATGCCCTGTACATGTATCATACCTCTCGATAATAACACAGCCCTTCCGCCTCAAACAGCAGTTGCTTCCGGGGTGTGTAATCTTCTAGGAGCTTCTGTGCGGAGACCTCCTTCTTGGGACCCAGATGGATGTGGCTCCCTGACGACGTGCTTGATGAGACTTCTGCATGCTGCACTGCTGTTTCTGTCACATCTTGCAGTTTCTTCCCCGGAGCTTTGCCGTCGGGCGAACCGCTCGCTCCTTTCCTAGCTTTCTTGCTGCCTTGAGCTTTTGCTGGTTTCGTCTCGTCCTGGGAAGCATCTTTGACGGGCACGTCGGGATCCAATTTTAATCTCTGCTTCTTCTGTGCCTTGTTCTGCTTCTTGGCTGGCTTCTCTTTACCGTCAACATCTTCCACTGCAAATGATTTGCTGCTTTGACGAAAACAGAAGCCCACAGCTGAAGAACTGTGGCAATACAACGTAATGACTAGTACAAGTAGTTTCTTCCCTGGAATGTGCTCTTCCAAGGCATTTATTTCAATGTACATAGACTCCTTGTAGGGGGGGTTAAGTAAGTTTGAAGTGCTTGTTTGTTAAGATACTATGTCAAATTGTAGCAGCACATGACAGTTGTGCAAATGACAAGCAATTTAACTGCACAATCACATGGACTACCCCTCGTGTAGAATCAAAAGCAAGGCGATTCCTGTGAAATTGTTCAACAAACTCCTCTTGTGTGGGAAGGAAGATGAACATGGGACAAATAAACAGATTACCCTTCTTGCGCTCTGATGGTTAGCTCTAAAACTATGGATCTCTCCTCTATTGTCCAAATGAAAACTTTTCAAAACAGTCAGGCTCTGTCCACTTCTGAGCATTCGATATAGCCCAAATTGGCAATGCATCATGTGAATAAAGCCTATGTTTCAGTCTACCAGCCACTGCAAGATCCAACAGTGACACTGTTCAAACGGGACTACATGTACATGTACAAAATAGCTCCCACTGACTCAGACTTGGCACTTGCGTGTACATGGGTGTACGTATGTGTGGGTAAATGTGCATGCTGGCTGCCTATACCAACCTTCCAACTTGCCCAGTACAAGATCCCACAGATCTGTTCAACTGTTATACCTTGCTGCTATCAGAATCAACTTACTCTGCTGACACATTTTTGAAGCCCAGATTTTGGATGTAGTCCCTCAGCTCTTGGGGATCAACGTCAGCTTCTTTCTCCTCCCCTTGATGAGCAACTTCCTCCTCGCCAGAGTCTGAAATGTCTCCAATCAACCTTAAGTCTTCCTGCAACAGTTTTGGTGGGATAAAATGGGGGCTGTCATACGCCATGAGTAGGAGAAATAGCACACGCACACCTACAAGTTCCATTCGACGACAAGAAAGTGAAAGGCACAATGTAATACCGTTTTTCAGTCATGGAGGATAATTTCCCAGAAGATTCAAAACACAGTCAATGGTTACACAAACCAACTGCCAAAGTTCAGTAAGAATTCCATACACTGTACATGCCGCTTGACACTCCATGCAAGTGGGACTCATCTGAAAACGTGTAGGCCTTGGCCAACGTCAATATTTATACTGCTAAATTTGACTTTGGGGGATATTTTACAGCAGTTGTACATGTATTGTGAACCTGACAACCCTGACATGCCCAAATAATGTTATTTCGGAGGGGGGGGAGAATGTGAAGAATAAAATGATATTGACACTACTGTACCCCGGACAGTGTCTTTTTTAACGTTGAAAAAAAAATGGACTTCTGTCAACGTGAAGCTCACTAAATTTCCTGCGCAAGGAAAACAACGTCATGTGCAGCACTGTCGTAAGGATGGAAAATGAACCCCAAGTATTTGCAATACCTTGAATTCGATTGAATATCCGAATATTCAGTTATTCCGACTGGCACATTGTTGAGGAACAAACCATGTACAAAATCAGTTGCAATAATGCACACAGTTGTACATTATAATTACTATAATAGCTTTTCACGTCTGGAAAAATCTCCAGCCAGGATTTGGCAAGATTTAAGAGACAAATAATACTTCTTTTCCTGTTGAAAGTATATTCCTTTTAAGTTTTTTAAGGAATAATGTAGGGCCTACCTTTTGAATCATTATAAGGTTTCTGTCGCTTTTCATTTGAATACATGTATGCTTAGAACACGCCTCCAATTTTTCTCATTTAAAACAAAAGAAAACTCTTCCTCCTTTTCATTCAAATATTTCAATTCAAAAAATAATATTCGAATATTCGATAATCAATCGAATATTCAATAATCGATCAAATATTTGGTTATTAAAATATTCGGCACAGCCTTAATGTTTTTGTGTCACTTTTACACTCCATCTCTTTTAGCGATGTGCATCTTGAATGTCAAATGGCTACTTAATCAACCTCACTAGTTCCACATTGAATATCGAACGTCAAACGAGGAATAAGAAGGCCTATTTTTCACACCAGTCATGCCGGTGTCAATGTTGCAGCAAATGAGCAATTTCAAAAGAAAAGTGATCAGGTTGTTACATCCCAACTATAACGTCTGTCCCAACTATAGTTGGAACAATCCCAACTGTAGAGCTGCAGTTGGGCTGGCCCAACTATTGCTGACCAATTTCTATGGAAATTTTCTCAACCTTATCCAAGTTTATGCATCTTATACTTGACACAATTCATCTAAAATATGGAACTTCATCTATCATGTCAATGATATGACACTGTAATAAACAATAAATATGACTTTGGCACATGTTGGACACATGTACGTTGAACTGGACCTCTGTGCTGCAGATGGGCCGGCCGGAATAATTGCAGAATACCTGCCACTTTAAAAAAACGACCCCTGGAATGACTGGTTACGTGGGTACAAGGTGAAAATCCCTCGAGAAGAGTGTGGCACTTTGACCTGTACCTGGCTATGAGGTTGATCGTGTGGGATGGGTATTCTGTAATTGAGCTGGCCGGCCCAACTATAGTTTGGACGGTCCAAACTATAGTTGGGACTGATGATATGGCAACTGGTCACTTCGGCACCCACCAACTCGGCACCTTGCCAGCTCGGCACCCACCAACTCGGCACCTGTACAAAAACCAACTCGGTACATGTACCTTGCCAACACGACACCTCTCAAACTTGGCACCTACATGTTCACGGACGGAATGTACGCGATACGAGATAGAGTAAGACTAAGAGAAATAGGTACAGGAACATCGTACTAACCAACCAACCAACCCACTGTTTGGAGATTTTATTTTTATATTAATGGGATCTACACCTCCCAGTCTTTTGACAAGAAAAGTTCAAGAAAAGTTTCTAAAATAGCTGTTTTCTCAAATAAGTCTCTTTTTTTTTTTCGAGTGGGTGCCTAGTCCACCATTGTCTTAGCTCTCCCGGTTAATATAACTGGCAGAGCCCAGCCGGCATGGATCACCCTGCCTGCCCATAAGCTGTGGCCAGTCGCTAGCGTTGTATGCACAGTGGGCTGGGCTGTGTAGTCACAGACTAATAGGAGTACATGTATTTTAGTCGGGCCTATGCTAGTACTAGTAGCCGCTCGGCTTGTGGGTTAGGTCAGGTCTGCCAGGACCGGGGACACAGGGGCAACTTCGATAACGAGCTTTCACAGAATTGCCAAGATAAAGCAAGGGTTATTTTTCTCTTTTTAAAATTAAAATCGGACTTTAATTTAAAAAATGGGTTTCCTTCAATCTTCCCTTTTACATAAGAAACTTGTTTCTTTATGAATTTCTCTGTTGAATTGGGTTACCATAATCCATGCAGATTACCCAATCTCCAAATCAAGCAAAATTACATAAGCACATGTACGGAATTAGAACCAATTGGTTCGATTCGAGTGTCGAGTCGGTCAGGTGCCGAGTTGGACAACGCAGACTGGAGGCAAAATTTGAGGTGCTGAGTTGGCTAGGTGCTGACTGGGTGTCGAGTTGACGAGGTGCCAAGATGACGAGGTGCCAAGTTGACGAGGTGCCAAGTTGGTAGGTGCGGAAGTGACCGACATTCGCTGATATCACTGACACTGGTTGTGTAACGTGTCGTTAGTCATGTTTTGTTTGTTAGTAAGGGCGTTGCAAGGTGATGACCAAACTGGAGCATGTTAAGATGAACTGATCTTAGGCCTACCTCAGTTCCACCAATGGGTTCGATGTCGTGCAAGGTAAGTTTACTCAACTGCTTTGGTGTCTTTTTAATATTAAATTTGACTGATTTCTTCTTCGTTTTAAGAAGAGCACGTTTTTCGTGCATGGTGGGTTCCATGTTGATAGCGCCCCCAACGTTCAACGAGATCACTCGCGAATAAAGTTTAAACCCAGACGTCTCACGCTATGAACACGCTGAATATCACAAAGGAATGTGACTATAATAGACCTTTGCCAACATCCAACATCATGTACTGTATGTACTGTACATCATAATTACAATTTACATATCATACATGTACATGTAGGCCCAACCAGCTGCAGTTGCACGATGTTACACTCGCTGTGTTTCTGTTTTTCCTTGCTCTATGAATGATATTAGCTTGACAAGTTATAGTGCCTTTGCATGTTGGTTAACTGAGTTTTTTATGCACTAGTGTTTACCACGTTTTCAAAGTAGGGCCTGCAATGCCAAGAAAGAAGAAAAAGTACAATGCTCGATTTCCGCCAGTAAGTTTGCCAATGTTTGTCATGACCGTGATCTGATGATTACGCCTGTCACTGGTTACTTCCAGAACTGCATACTTAAGTAAGGTTTAAAGGATCTGACACCTTAAGTTTCAGATAGCAATGTACAAACTCACATAAACACAGTCTTGGCTGTTTTGATTGTCAGATTGTGCCAACATTTAAGTTACTCTGCCATCACAGATATTTGTGCAACAAACTTCCAAGTTTAGTGAGATTAGACATGTTAGGTGTCTGCTTGGGAGGCTTATTCCATGTTCACGGTTTATACCTCATTAGAATGGTAACATTCATGAGTATTTTGCCCATCCATGCCACGAAAACTCAACAGCTAGATCGTTGTGGGCAGCATGACTCCTTGACCAATCGAAACACAGCTCCTTTCTTTGCCAAATTTTCCTGTCACTAATTTGTTTCAATGACCAATCGTAGCTCATGCAAGTTTGTTCATTGTTATCTCTAAGGTTAAGGTTTGTATAACCTTAGAGTTCTGGAAGTAGCCATGGCAGCTCTTGGTATAGGTATTTATACCCCAGTCATCGTCAGTCGTCCGCCATGCGGCCAGGGAGTCCACCTGGGCTACATGGACCCTGTACCCATCACGTCATATCCTTGGCATTGCCTGGGCATGCTAGGCCTACTCCAAGCACTGTAACTATATGTTGGCCTTAGGACTCTACGAATAGCCTCTATTATTGTTTGAATTGATGGTCAGTTAGGCCTACATGTACTATTCAAATGTTGAAAGAGGTGATTCTTAGAGTCCTACATGTACATGTAGTTAGAGTAGCCCATGTCATAAGCATGGTTAGCTGAAAAGCCTACATGTAACCTACACCCACTCCCTTTTCCCTTCTTCCTGGGCCCAACCACCGATATTAGTTGATGGAAGTACATGTACATGTACTATAACAAAATCTGCAATAACATGGTGCCAGAAATGCTCTTTTATGAGCGTTGGTCTTTTCAGACACACACTCGAAAAAAAAAATTGGGTAAGACTTCCATATACGGATATCCCTTGCGGCAGTGCTAGTTTACAATGGATTAGCCATCAGAAAGTGATAACCTGTCCTAAAAAGTCATGTTTACATGTAGCAGTGAAAATATTGAAGCATTTCAGTGTTTTTCCTCTGCCTTGTTTATTTGCAGGCCCGAATCAAGAAGATTATGCAGCTCGATGAAGATGTCGGCAAAGTGGCTGCAGCAGTACCTGTTCTGATATGTATCCTTGAATACCTTTATCTTGACAATAGCTTATTGTTAATCATTTACACGACCCATGTACAGTGAAGCTGTACGTTTCTTCATGCACATGGACAAATTGTATACCGTACCTGTTAGCATTAAAATGGACAGTTTGTGTACTTTCAGAAATTTAAATAAAGAAGACCTGCTTCAAACTGCTGGCTGCAGTGACTTAAAAACCCCAAACTGACAAAGTTAGGGGGCCAATGTTCCCATCCTAACAGTACACGTACATGTACATGTTCATCGGTAGGCCTTCCCTGTGTCAAGGGGCAATTTTTTTTTCCAGGAAATTTGGAACCCTGTTGTTGGGATTGAAAAATCTTTCCTCATAATATTTTTGGTCCCCCATATCATCTATATTTCAACCCTTGTGTAAAAATAATAATCCCTATAACCTAGTTACAAGTACCAGTGTGAGTCGCCCTTCCCAAGGACCAAGTTGTGGGAAACAAAAAATTGTCCCCATATTTTTGGTCCCCATAACATTTATGTTTCAACAAGTGTGTGGGCGTGGTATACATAATGTGGACCTCTGTACAAATGAAGTCCACAAAATGTAGGGTGTGATCGTGTTGTGTGGACTTGCACACCTCCACACAATGTTTTCCCCTCTCTGAAAAACAGTTTCAGTGGCATTTGGGGGGCCAAGGTTATCCATGGCAAAATGAAGAGGAACAGGAAATCATCGTCAAAAATCCAGCTTGAAGGAGTTATTCTAGGAGGAGAAAAAAGAGTATTTTTCCCAAGTTACCTTAAGCACAGGAGAACAAAGGAATGTCCACACTTCTTACGCGAAACAAGTATGGGTGTGTGTACATGTACTGTGTATATGCAGTTTTTGTCAGTGGTATGCATGTATGTTCATTCCCATGCCCTTGTGCACCACTTTGTTGAGAGTTAGCGCATGGGCACTCGATACTGTGGATTTCGAGGAAGGAGACGCCGGACGTCATTCCAACACTTCTTTCTGCGGATGGAGATCATTATTTGTTTTTAACAAAATATGAACAAATGAAGTTCACAGAGATAACCAGAGAACTAAAAATTTATCAGATAACATTAGACCACAGTATTATAATGAACCCAGTTGCATAAAATTTAAAACAAGTTCTGGAAAAGTGATTTTTAAAAAATAAACACAATCAGATTTGAAAGAAAATACATCCATGGTCTTTCCCATTTTAAAACAACTTCTTCCGTTTATCCAAACAAACGAAAATAAAGTGGCATGTGCATTAAGACCCAATAAAAATATCAGTTGTATTTTCAAGTTATTACGAATTGAATATTTTGCACGAGAATCATTTGTCCTTAGTAGCACTTATGTACATCTACGTGCGTTGATGAAGTAAATGTACATGGATGTGGACATGTGCACACATAAATCATGGCCGACCGGTCGACTGAGAGTCAAAATTGAAATTGATCAAACTAACAAGGGACAATTCACATGAGCTTAAACATAACACGGTAACCTTTTTCAAAAACACTTTCAATTATTAAGTTATGCAGCATGTGTGGAAAATCTGAAGAATAATTCAAACTTTCGAGTTTAAAATACACTTTATTACATTCGGAAATGTAACACACACAGACATTTTTCACCTCATTTCCTCCCAAATGTCACTTATGATTAACAAGAAATACATCACAAAATGAAATCCGAATCTGAAATGAAATCTGATTATATTTCTCTGGTACAAATTCAGCAACCGTTTACACAATGCGGAATTTCCCCAGATGGACTTTGGTATAGTCGTTTGCTGGCTGGTGTTGCCCTTTTAACAAGCAACAGAAAGTGACCACGACTTTGCCGCATTTTAGCACATGTACACAACTAAGTGGAAGGGTTGAACATACATGTATGATACGTGCACAGGGCACATGGCACATGTACATCTTCATATAGTCTTCATATAGACTTCATTGTTAGAAACATCCTGTCCAAGGTTTGTTCCCTTGCTTTCTTCATTGTTTCATATTTTTTCACCCATTTCTTTATCGTTCTTCCAGTCTTCTGTATCACTTTTATTTCTCTCTGCCTGTTATTTCCTGTCATTTTTGTTCTGTTTCATATTGGCAAAGTTGATATTGTTCTGTGCCCATCGTTGTCAAAACATGAAGTTTATTATTCCGTGCAGGCTTGGCTTTTGTTGTTGTTTTTTTCATTTCTCACTCTCGGTTAATCACAGTTACATTTTGCAATGGTTTTTCCATATTTGACTTGAATCCTTAGCTAACTGCTTTACACAGCGAAAGCATTGGAGATTTTTGTGGAATCCCTGCTCACCAAATCACTGCAACAAACTCAAGCAAGGAGTGCAAAGACTATGTCAACTTCTCACATGTAAGATTGTGCATTTCTTCTTTCCACTTACCTGTTCCCCGCTAGCGCTGGGATCTCTTCACATATTTCCGCGTCTGCGATTTCAGAATATCAAAACAAGTTTATGAAGTTGATGGTAAAACCTTTGCTCAAATGAGACAGCAAAGATTTATTTGCTCAACTCTGACCACTGTTTCGGTGCCATTCTTGCCAATAAATTTGCTTTGGGTTTGGATAAAGTGTACTCTAGCCGTTAGGCAGGTGAGACATCATTAAAACCCTTTCAAATGCCTTTTCTTTCATATCACACTTCAACAGTATACATGTTGCATCTTACCCAATTGATTCTCACTTTGTCTTGTGGCTTGATGTGTGTCCATGAGAGCCTGCTGTTTAACTTCTTTCCAATGCAGTATCTAGTCGGGTTTTTTACACTGTCTCTGTTAATTATCACGGTTCAGTGTTTCAATTGAGTTTGAAGAATGATAAGGATAATTTTTTGTTTCTACCCTAATTTCTACAGAAGGCAGTGCATACTGAGTGAGAGTACGTTTGATTTTCTCAAGGATCTGGTGGAGAATGTACCAGACATGCCCTGTGAGGAGGACGAAGGGAGCCAGCCACCAGTGGTTCACCGGACAGAGCGTAAACACAGGCAGCATAGGTAGGGGAGTGGTCAAGGCAGACTCATGTTTGAGTCTCAAAATCTCCCAGTCTGAGTCTGAGGTTCCTCTCCAAGTTGAAGTCTGAGTCCTGAGCCATGCATATTGAGTTTGAGTCACAAGTACCGGTGGCTTTACAGAATGGTCTGTTATTGAAATCTGTGCATCCAGTTTTAAGTGTAACGCTAACCCTGCCAGATCAAGCAATATGCATTAGGTTTACATTGGAAAAGTCTGATGCACAACCAACAGCAGCCAAAAAACTGCCTATGTTGAGACAGTGGGAGCTGGTCCCATTGAACAGTGACACTGTTGGATCTTGTGGTGGCTGGCAACCACAGACTCCCAGGCCGTTTGAGCTTTGGGATAGTCAACCTGTTGGATCTTGTTGCACTGGGTATGCCAGCCTGGTTGGAAAATGCTGCAAACTGGTCTATCTGGCAGGGTCTTTAGCCAGAATACAAACCCTGGAGTGTCGTGTGCTTACCAGTAATTTTTTCATTAACCCTAACCTTCCTCGATCCTCCAAAATCCTTGGGGCAGTTTTGGAGGATTTTGAAGGATTGAGGCAGTAGCCACACCTCCAAGTAACATTTTCAAGAAATTTTGGAGAATTTTGGAGGATTGAGGGAGAATCCAATTTGTTCACCCCCCAAATTGGAGAATTCTGGAGGATTGAGGAAGGTCCCTAGCAAAAAGGGCCTAGGGAGTTAGGTTTATAATGAGAAACATGCCTGCTTCCTGGCCATAGTCATAATGGCAGTCATAATGACAAATTACAGTCAATGGTCCTTTTATAGCATTCAATAGTGCCGTGCATTCATATGCCACAAATTGGTGTTCATTCCGTTGAAAAATGGCAGTTGGAGCTCACACCCATGTATATTCTGGCACAGTTCCGAATTTTCCAGATGCTCGATGTACATGTTTTTCGTAACCTAACAGTGAGACTGAGCACTGTTGTAATGCCATTGAACCTTAGTCACGAGAGGGGCTTGATGCGAACAAAATTGCATTTGCTTTCAATTTCCATACACTTTGGGATTAATATGTAATCAGCAGGGTGTTTGTTCACTTACAGGCCACGACGGAAACGTGTGAAAGACGGGGAAGCCGGGCCTAGCAACAGCCAACTTGTTAAGCAGTCTTCCGAAGAGCCGTCATCCTCTGAGGTATCATCCTCAATTCTAATTTGACAAAAAATCTTTGGCTTGTAAATTATGCTTCTAAGCTTCTTTAATGGGCTTTTTTGCTGAGGTTGTTGGGCATTGAAACCTACACGTAAATCTGAAATTACCACAGTTTACTCCTCGGCAAAGACATGGCTCTTGAAGCGTTCTGTTTTGTTTGTTTTTTTTTTGGAGACAAATCAACTTTTCTTTTCCTCAGAAACTTTAGGCCAAGATCATGAGTTTTGTGCTGATATTTATTGATGTATCCATAATTTTCAGAGACAGCAGTTGCAAATTGTAACTTGTTGAAAAATTGCCCATGTTATTTCGTTGACGATAAAGAATAAGATATATAGGTTCTTACAGCATGCCTTAGACTGGCTGCAAGAGCAGTAAATGGTTTTATGCAACTTCTGACAAAAACTCCAGCAAGTGGGACGCTGCATAGGTGCATTGCTTGTGTTTATTTGCCCTTGAGTACACATCATTAATTTTCATCAGAATGTGCACAAATCCATACCATCTTGGTACGGCCACAGGCTGTGCATGAGCTATGGCATTGTGACCGATGTGGGATTTTATCACCTGCATACCGAGCTCAAACAGTGACATAGCCAAGTTGGGTTATTTGGTCATGCAAGGCCTTGTTCCCTTAGTTACATTTGTGGCATACAGACCCCATTGGGAAAACTCTATTCCTAAATTAACAATGCAGGATGACACTGAGAGTGATGAGGAGGAGGGAATGAGCAACAGCGACAGCAACAACATCTCCCAAGACCCACCCCGCCTACCGGCAGCTGCAGGCCAAATACCCAGCACTGCTTGGTGAGTTTGTGTCCCCTTGTGTGATGTGAAAGATTCTGGTCTAGGGAGTTGAGGCAGGCTTGACTGTTATAACCAGTCAGCCGTTCCAGTGTGCACACACAGCCTGATCATGTTGACACATCCTCTTGACCTAAGTGGTTACTGTAGTGTTACCACAGCATTTCCCTCTGGTGAAATTCTCCCGTTCGTTCCTGAGAAACAAAACGTTTCTTAAGCCCAAATCTCCGGTTTCTCCCAAATCTCCCCCTAATCTCCGGTTTCTGGTCAGCGTGCGCGTCGCTGTAGACCTTCACATTGACAAAATAAAAATGTTTCTTATTTGGTATGAAACGATGTCCAACAGCTGCCAAACTTGCTTAATCGACTGGAATTCTGCTACTGTGCTTTTGATGGTATATGGTTGAGTAATACGTACAGTAAAGGAGTACCTGTAGTTCCCCATACATTTAGTCGGGCACTCTTTTTTCAGATGACATCATTTCTGTGTTATACATTTACATCTTGGAACCAGACAAATGAGGTGGTCCTATGTCCTGTGTACACATACAAGCTGAAAATGCTTTTAAACAGTAAAACTGTAGGGGCCGGTCTAGTTTAATGTTGGTAGTGGCCTGCGTTACATGTGCCAGCAGGCGTGATGGACATCGTGCATTATCGTACATCTTTTCTAGAAAAGAAAGTGGGAGTAAAAAAAAGCTGCATCGCTGCACCACTTTTGGAGCCAGCTCCTGTCCAGAAACTGGAGACTTTTTTATGGCCTTGGTGTTCTCAACTTACATTTTGGCAACTGCATTTTTTTTTATTAGTGACCTCCTAATGTTCTTAAAACTTTGCTGAGTGAGGCCCAGTTGATTGCAAATGATCCTAGGTATCCAGGCAACAGATATCAATTACAAGGTGAATGAAAGCAGTTACTGGACTCTGTTATTTTGTTATTCTGCGGCATTTCTCATTACAGTATCCCCGGCCAGCCCTCCCCAGCAATGTACCCTGTCCCTCAATTGCCCTTGCCAACCATGGGAGTCTTTCAGGCACCAGCCTCTGCCTCGGGCACCGTGCAAACAGGAATGGGCGCCTACCAGCCGCCCAAGAACAACAACACTGACGATGATGAGAACTACGACACATAGCACAGAGTTTTGCTGGCCCGATCCAGGGGATGGGGAGGGGATTGTGGAGAAGCTCAAGGGGCAGTGTGCCAACAAGAGTTTAGCCCACAGAGGCCATTTCGTGAATTTTGGGGGAAGTCAACATCTGCATGCCAAGCGACATTTCTTTTATATAAGGACTCAAAAGCTGGCATGGTTTTGTTTGTTCATTTTGTTTTAGGCTTTTTTTGTGTAGTTTTTATGTTTGAATCAGGATAAGTTTATTTGCAAGGTTTCAAAGTGCTTCCTGTGTGGTACTGCTTGTAAACAGTGAAGAACACAGTCGACTATAGTTGGTTGTTGGTTCCCTGTGTGAAGTTTGCTCCAGTGTGTGAGTCCTATATCACCACAGATTGAAGCTCCGCAGTCGAAGTAACTCTGGGAATGATTAGGTTCTTTTTTTTTCTGCCATTCACAGTTGGAATGTATTTAGTACGCACTTTGCAAGGAAGCTGGATTGAGAGTATGGGAAACACTTTTTGTGGCCCAGTGGTGAAAAAAAACACCTGTGCATGACTGGATCTAAGTCCATTCTTGAGGGCTGTGTTGTCTACTGTATATAAATGGACAACACAGTTGTGGCTTTCTGCACAGTACAAGCAAATGTCAGATTATTATTTGACGTTCCATTTGGTTATTAAGATCAAATGCACGTGCCTGTGAATTGATTATCTTTATTGCAGTGTTTTTCAATGAACCATTGTAAATATATGTAAAAGCACAAGGGTGTTCTTGTACATTAATTCAGCTTTTCCAATTAATCAGCCTTAAAATTCAAATAAAATCAAATAATTTGTGTTTTTGTTTCATTTGCCACCGATTTAGCGACAAAAACTTTGACTTGAATTGTTTTGAGCAACCATCCCTGAAATGTGATCTGAAATCTGAGGCCAGGTTTTTTATTAGGCAAGATCAGTTGATAAATGCCTGTCTGTCTACAACCTTCATTGAAGGCTTGAAACACCCACAGGATTAGTCAAAAGAATTTGCAGTATGTAAGAAAGTGGAGCCATCAACAGTACTCAGTTACTTTATGTAGAACTTAGTCACCTAGGTTGTCCAGAGACCAAGAGTGTGCCATTGCATCAATGCAAACTCCGGTTTTATTTGGGGGGGGCAAAGCACTCATCAACAGTAAAATGGCAAACTATTAACGATGGATCGGATGATCTCTGAAGTATTTTCAAGCAGAGGCTACTTTTCATCCCCTTCCTTTTCCACTTCTCTCACTTTTTCTTGTTTCCCCTTTAAATTTTAATTTTTTTCCAGTGGGGGTAGTGCCCCCAATGCCCCCCCCCACACCTATTTGAAGGGTGTTTGGTGATGTCGAGATGTTCCTGGCAAAAATGTCAGGCTAGAGGCAGAGTGCCCAAATCTGTTGATAACATTCCCACAAGTCCAAAAAGTGGCACAGCCCAACTCGAAAGTGTTTCAACTGTTGCAAAGTTTTACAAATGTACACAAAGGTTCGGTGCCATCAATCATGATGTTGCACCGCAAGGGAAATTTTTACCATGATTTTGGATTAGGTGTATATTGTGGTTTTTACTTGTAGGAGTAATTCTGAAGGCTGACAACAGGATCTAAACTGAGCTGTGCACAGGTATTTTTAAGGGTGGCTGGGATTTTTTTTTGTTACCGTGAGCTGAGCTGAGAGACACATATACATTAGCACCTGTTCAAGTGAAGGCAAACAAAGTCAAGTATTTGAAATGAAATACACAGTGTGGTTTTTGCTCAAGATTAAAGACTCTTGATAAAAAAGTTATCAGTGCCAGATTGTAAATGGACTGTGTTGGTCATTTTTTGCACTTGCTCCGATAATCCTGCATTACTCATGATGAGTATTGTTTCTGCCTCTTGACTTTGTGCATCAATCGCATTCATTTGCATCAGAGCATCAGTTACATGCTTCTGCTTTCATCTTTAGCCCATTTAAATCAACTCACCACACATTTACAACCAAATGTTAGGAATCACTTGTAATGAACAGGTTTAATTTGGGTATGAACATTTTAAGGTAATTTCTTACATTTAAGACAGAGTTAGCAACTACTTGGACTTCACTGAATATGTGAATCCTTTTTAATCCCAGTCTTACACTTTGCCTCCAAACCTGTGACAATATTCAGTAGCACTATACAACCTAAGAATGCTAGATATGTACATGTTTACAGCGTTCCATGAATCTCTGATTTGCTGAAATGTCACTCAAATCAAATTTCTGCTTGCTCATATTCAGGGCCGTCGGGAAACTGTCATTTTAGTTTTATTATGTTGACAAACTTGACTAATAACATGCATAAACACACTTTCATAAGGAGATATGTGCATAGATAGAGTGAAACGGTGCTCACCCATTCCAGACTTGAAAAAAGTCTTAGGTTTATAAATTTAGAGCATGATTTCATCTAATGAAAATAAAGGCAAAACTCTTCCGTGTTTGGCTTTATCCAGTTCTGTACTGTACTTGTTAATAAACCCAAAAGCTTTCAGTTGTCTTAACATGAGGTTTGCGGCTTTGATTATTAGACAATCCCATGAACGATTGGTTGGTTAAATGAAAACTGCATGGTTGACTGATCGACCAAAACTTGCCTACATGGCTGGCTTTATGTTCCATTGGCTGCTTGGTTGAATCAAGTAGGTTGGACATCTGAGCTTGTTTGTTGGTCTGTTCATCTTATTTAGAGGAGGGAAAAACAACATCCATCTATCCCTTGCTCAAAAGATGCTACCCCCCCCCCATTTTTCTTCCAAAATGTGAAAAAGTCCGAAAAATTTAGCCCCACCTAAAAAATCCCATAAACACCACAATGTCAAATCTTTGTGTTCCTTTCGCCACCTGCCCCCCTTATATTTGATCCTGGGCCCACCCTTGACTAGAAAAAATATTTGTCTAGTGCTTTTTCTAGTCAAGGGCAGGCCCAGGATCAAATATAAGAGGGCAGAGGGGTACAAATTATTAAAGTTTCCTGTCTCTAATAATTTTGATCTATTTTGCAGAGGGGTACAAAATTATTAAAGTTTCCTGTCTCTAATAATTTTGATGTTAGAAAGAAAAGAATACTTTGGGAATGCCTCAAGTGAAAAAAAGGCCTTCCTGCTTGGATTGTATATCCCAACGGTACCTTTGTGGATGGGGGAGGTCAAACACGGGCCTCCCTCGGCACAATTTTTATCCAAATATGAGAGAAAGGCAATTTTGTTTTTAGCTGTTTCATTTCTGTTCCCACCGAAAGCGCGTGAAAAAGTCCCAAAATTTAGCCTCGCCATTCAGAAAGCCATAGACAGTTACACAAAGAAATTTCCAAAGGTTTGTCCCCCTCCATTTGGTTCTTGATCCTCCCATGCACAGCGGGGAGGGGGGGCTGGCCGGGGTGGGGAACTGGAGATTTATTGAGGGCGCTGTTCCGAAGAGCCAGTGGCCGTGTCGTGGGAAATGGGTGAAGAAAACATCTCGGTGACGAACATCGAAACTGTTATTATTCCGAAGTTGAGAAGAGAAAATGACCACTTGTTTGAAGAATTGAAGGAGGTAGGCCCTAGTGTTTCAGTTTCTAAGCGTAACGCTAACATGCCCTTGAGGTCTTGTATTTATCGCACACGGCATTGGCTGAACTTCGATAGTAGGGGGCCTACACGTACAGTTCAGGACTAAATCATGTACCATAACTATACTATTTTGTTTGGGTTGCTTCAGATTATTTTTAACTCTTTTAACTGTATAATATCACTAGCGAAGAAACCAACCACGGTTATACTGTTAGTACACCCACTAGATTTTCATCATTCCAGAGGACCTCCATTCCAGCAACCATGGCAATCATTCATTTGGGCCTACCACTCACTGCCAGTGCAGTACCACTATCAGTACCGGTACTTTACATGGTGATGCTTTCATTAAATGTACTGTATGATCCCAGCTGGGAACTCATCGCAAGGACATACATGTAAGCCATGTATATTCATCAGGATCATTAATTTCAAAATTATTCAGACACATTCTGTGCTTTGTTTGAGCCTTGTTTTATCTGGAGATGTGGAAATGAACCCAGGACCTACATGTAAGAATGTGACAAAACCCAGTATAAATTGTGGAGAATGTTTCAAATGGACTAAAAACTTCCACCTGTATGTGAGGAATGCAACTCATTCATACACATCAAGTGTGCAGGAATGTCATGTGCAGAGTACTTAAGAAACAACACCAACCCCTTTTCACCACACTTACGGCTTTGCCCCAAATGCTGTGGGCCTTGTGGAATCTGCCATGGAAATGTTTTGAAGGACCATAAAGCTGTGCAGTGTGATCGCTGTGAATTGTGGATACATACCAACTCTGGGACACTCATGATCTGAGTTATGAATCATTGATGAATTTGTCATGTTTGTGGGCTTGTCCTGCGTGTGATATCTCAACTTCTTTGACTCATTTTTTCAACAACTCAGCCATTCCCAGTTCCCAGTTTCCCACATCAAGTTTATTTCGTCTGTGTGATGCACGCTGAAATGGAATTTTTCCAATGATACTGAAACTCGACAAAAAAAAGAAAAAACCTTTGTCAACTTCACCAGCAAAGAAAAAAGACAATTTCAAATGCAGCCTCATCAATAACCAAAGCAAAAGGAAAGGCAGCAGATGTCCTTAGAAGATCTACATGTAGATGAAATTCACAAGCCAGAAGTAATCTGCAGCACTGAGTCTTGGCTTGATCCTTTCATCAGTAGCAACGAGATCTTCCCTCCACGTTTTAGTGTCTTCCAAAAAGATCATGTGACACTCACTCCTGGCATGTCTGGGATAGGGGTCTTTCCAAGCTACCAAGGGTGATCTTATAACAACACAAATGACAAATCTTGAAGCCGACTGCAAATGTACCTGGACTGAAACTGAGATCAAAGGGAGAAAACGTATAATTATAGGAAGTTACATGTACAGGTAGGAACATTTTTCCAAACTTCTGATGATCAGCAGGGAGAAAAGATTGATGAACTAAACCGTAACGTGGCATTATCAAAGCTTGGCGACTAAATCAACACGCAATAATTAATAATTATTTGCAATAAGGCCAACAAGACGGGGATTCAACAATCGCTTCAGGATTTCAGAGAGGAATATATGAATGCAACCAACGGTCAGTCAGTCAATACCAACTGGAATATGATCAGTACCAAGATTACTGACATTATGAACAAATGGTCATACTAATAACCGTCAACGCAGCGTCAGCACCTCTAAAAAACAGTTAAAAAAAAAAGCAGTACTCAACCTTAAACTGTTTGCCAAAAGGTTATTTTGCTAAACCTCAAAAGGTTAGACTCTAGGAAAATTGCCGTTTTAATTTTGCCAAAATCGCCTCCTTTTAACCAGATCAGAAATCAGCTGCCATGTTGCCTCTCTAGGGCAGCTGGGACTATACTATTACGTCATAGGGGTGGGCAGCAGAAGGCAGTCATTACAGTGATTACACATACACAGATCATGTCTTCGGATGGCGAATCCCCTCCCACACCCTTTCCCCAAACCGACATAGTTTTATTTCTTTAAAATTACTGTGATGCCTAAAACAAAAAAATCAGTTCTTCTTGCAGCCTCTAACAATGCTTTTACCTTTAAAGTTACTATATTTTAATTTTCTTAAGACTGAATAAGCCCTAATTGTCCCTTTTCATATATTAATGTTCATTAACTGTGAAAACCAATGATGTTGTTTCTGCTATTCATTTTTACTCTTTTGTATGGACATGGCAACTATCAGCTTGCCCCATGGGTACCAGGAAGATTCAAAACACACCCTCAAGTATGGGCAATAAAACCCGATCTGGAAAAAAAAGCCACTTCACAAATTTCTTTCTTGGCTCAGAAAAACATGCAATTTGTAACCTCACCTGATGGGAAATTAAATACACCGAAACCACCTTCACTGCCAAGAAAACCAGGTCATTGTAAACGAATTCAAACAAACAGCAAAGACTGTAACGTTCAATTCCTAGGATACAGGTTCTGTGTGTTCAGAAGATTCAATCAATTTTGGACGAAATCACAAGAACTCGCAGTGGGCAGAATATTTCTCATTTATTTGAATCGCATATTTTCCCAGGTGATAACCTGTATGCCATCAGAGAGAAATGCAATGTCCTAAAAAGTGCAGTTCAAGAGAAAAATGTGATTGAAAATAAAAGAATTATTTGCACTGGTCTGGACCCCGCCAGTATAAAACTGTGGGTTCCAATTTACCAACAATCAACAAAGGGAAAACCACTCAAAATGAACCACTAAAGCATGGACAGGTAACTTGCCTCTCCACAGAAGACTGCTTAACTTATTTATTTCAATTTCAATGGTCAATTCCAAATGTATAGATCAATGCAAGTGGGTTTTAGTTCAAACCCCAGCCCTAATGTTGGCGATGCCCTCCCCCCGAAACAGTTCTGTGAAAGAGCAGAAATACATGTACATGTACCCTGGCCACGTGCACAAGAACATACATGTACAAACCTAGAGCAAAAAGGAATGGCTGGAATGGGTTGACCCAAGTCTTCGATTTAAATCCAAAACTTACATACAGAACGAAAAGTTAAACGAGAATATTCCATGCCTCTAGAGGTTCCCGTCTCTGTCCCGGTCAGAAAGGTCCCTACGGAAATTTCCCACACCCTTGGTCACCATGTTCACTATATACATAAAAAACCTTGCGTGGGGAGGGAAGTGCATCAAGCCGTATAATCCCTGCTTCAGTTTTAAAATTACTTACTGAAGGTTCAACCTTTTAAAATAAAAGAACATGATTGAAATCTACAAATTACTACTCACGATACAATCCAAACCAACCATCTACAGCTACCGGTGCCAGGCCCTCTTGTCATGTTCATGGCATTACTTGCATACCCACACCTTAATGGTACAGTCCAAGCTCCATGAGAAGGCAAGGTGGTGGTGATGAACAGCTGCACTGCCAGATATCACTTTTTTCATGTGAAAAAACTCCATTTTGTAAATTGATTTGTGACCATCAACTACTAGAAAGTCTCTTTCAGCTTGAGTGTTTTATTTCCATGCTTCTTTTGTTGATTGAACTTGTATTTCTGAGGAATTGACACTGTGTTAATATTGCTGTCAGCAACAGGAATTTCATCTGTGATTACATGCAAAAAGCTGAAATTCTGAATGGTCAATTCAAAAGTGTGTTTACTCAGGAAAATCCCACTAATTCGCTACCAGATCTGGGTACGAGCCCGTATGATTCTGTTGGTTATCTTGTCAGTTCAACAAAGGGAGTCACGGACCAACTTCTGAAAATCAACCCATCAAAGTCTCAAGGCCCAGATGGGATACCCCCTGGTTTTTGAAGACTTCCGCTGATCGGCTGGCACCAATCCGAAAGACCTGTTCCAACTTTCTGTCAACTTGGGTCAAGTGCCAAAGGCTTGGAAGGAGGCTAACATCTCTGCTCTCTTTTAAATGGGCAACAGACTCGAAGCAGCCAACTACCGACCAGTTTCTTTGACCCCAGTCATCTCAAAGCTTCTTGAGCACATAATATACAGTCATATTATGAAGCACTGCATTTTGATAAACTTCATATTCTGACTGATTGTTAACATGGCTTTCAAGCTAAAAGGTCAACAGAAACTCAGCTTATTCTCACAATCCATGACATCACTAAAGCTTTAGATGAGAACAAACAGTCGATGTTGCTACATGTACATGTATATGAGATTTCACAAAAGCATTCAACAAAGTCCCTCATTGTAGATTAATCCACAGACTCAAGTATTATGGAATTAGAGGGTCGCTTGCTACATGTATGGATCGAGAGCTTTCTGATGGGTAGAACTCAACAGGTAGTGGTAAACGGCACAACTTCATCATCAGTCAGGGGCACTTCAGGGGCGTGACAGGGGGAGTCCTTGGTCTATTACCATTTCTATTAACCATTTCATAAACGACTTACCAGGAAAAATCACATCGAACGTTAGATTATTTGCAGACAATTGCTTTCTGTATACACCCATCAAATCAGCTGAAGACACAACCATACTTCAAGATGATGTTAAAGAGCTTGGCAACTGGCAAGACACATGGCTTATGCACTTGAATGTCCATCTCGTCCAGAACCCCAAAACGTAACATCTACACCTTTTGTGGATAAGAATTGACATCTGTTGATTCACATCCTGACTTGGGAGTCTTGATATTTGACACACTCAGTTGGGATGCTCAGACTTCAGCAGCCCCTAAGAAGGCTCAACAATACAGAGAGTAATCAGACGCGATCTAAGCAACTGTTCCTTGGAGGTGAAATCAGCAGCCTATACAAGCTGTCCTAGAGTATGGGACTGTGGCTTGGGACCCACATAAAAAGAAAAACATCAAGACACTAGAAAGAATACAGAGACAAGCAGCTCCTTGGATATACCGGGAAGAGCCACTTAAATGGGAGTCCTTGGAAACGAGAAGGAAAATAAGAAAACTCAGCATAATTTACAAGATGGAAAATAATATGGCAGAAATACCACTCAACAACTACTTCCACAAAACTGGGAGGCAGTCAAGGCAACACCACAAACAGTTCCGTCAAATGCAATCCTCTAATCAAGCCTTTGGAACAAGTAGTTTTTTTCCCATCGACCGTTAAGGATTGGAATACGTTGCCTGCAGATATCATTTCTTGTACATGTACTTCACTGGAGACATTCAAAGATGGGTTAGCTAGGTTTTATCAAGAATGATCCACGCAATGCACCGGCTGATGTGATGTGTCCTTACAGACATTTATTTGCCGGCTCAACTATGCAAATACAGAGGATGAGTACAGTACAGCGGCACGGTGGCCTTCATCATGTTAACATGGTTAATGGTTTAATATGGGGCTTCTCTCTGAGCTCCGTAAACGTGTTCTAACAAGAGGAATATGGTGGAAAATGGGTTCTTGAAAATGCCAATGAAATTCATGATGTAATAAAGATTGATGGCCTGGTTTTGAAAAATATTTTAACAGAAAAAATTCCATAGGCCCTATCATACTTTTTTGGACTTTTTTGAACCCAATGATTTAAAGAGGTCACAGTATTTCCAAATTTTGGTGGGCTAAAGATGTAAAGGGGGTTTGAGTAACTTAGGGGGACAGATTTAAAAGAAAGCAGTGGCTATACACATATATTGTTTTGGAAGTTTAGACAGGTTTCTGTTTAATTTCATGCACTAGTTGGGTGCACAGGGACCAAACAGTTTACAATGAATGGATCTCACTTTATTTCCCTCTAAAAAGAAATCCTCCAGTGATATGAATCTACCAAAAGTGAAAAGAAAAACATGTATAAAAGTAAACATGCAATCTGATTGAAAAAATTAAGGAGGAAAAAAGAATAGACTCAATCTTAGCGCATCACGTTTGCCGACCAGCGTGCGTACCAATTTGGCTACCGCAGTGCCACGACGGTATTGGGAAATTAAAACCTTACATACATGTACATGTAGATTGACAGTGATAATTGTGCAATGCCATAACAATAGAATTTGAAAGTCGCCTTATAGTTGCCATAACAATAGCCTCTTTGTTAAAAGAAGGGGACCCCTCCAATTTCATGTGAAAAAAAAGGAATTTTTCACATGTAAATACATGTACATGTACGTTTTGGTGGTCATGGCAGCCTCTAACCTGTAGTTTATCTTGTAGAATGGTGCTCAAAATCATCCAAAATTTCTCTCCAAAGAAAGTGTGTTTAACAAAGATTCACCTCCCTTTCAATATCAAATGATTTGCAGGTCAGCATTTATACATAAGTCTGTAAACAAACACGGAACAATATACATACATGTACATACTACTCCTAGAAAAGTGGCCAGTGAGTGTGGACTTTTCTCTGCAATGCATAATGTACATGTACGTAAGCCTACAACATGTAAAAGAAAATTCTCAAATATTCTGAATTTAAATCTACAGGCCAAACAAACGGAGCTGTCATGGCAGAGATACAAGGGACATCTGTTGAAGACAAAAGAACTCAAGGCAGCATCTGCGCAGACAAGATCAGTTGGAGTTAGTGATGTCGTGACAACTTTGCCAACCTCCTCACGGAAATTGTAACTATCTTGGATTTAGTTTAGTTAAGTTTATTTTCATGCAAATTTTTAACTCTTCTAAAATCTAAAATTGGGTGTCCCTTTTTAATTCCATGGTTCTCATAATTTTTTACCTTGAGGGAGGGTCAGGAAAATTGGGGCTAAAAAAATTGCTATTTCCCCAGAAATTCTTGATAGTAATTTTTTTCAATTTTTGTCCCTGGGAAGTAAATTCCATATAGGTCAGTGGCATAACAAGTTTTTTTTTCCCTCAGTTGAAGCCAAAAATAAGGTTCAGTTGGAAATAAGAAGCAGTGTTAGAATTAACTTTGGATGCCCTGATGTGTTCTTTATTGCCTTCTTCAGCAAGGCACACCAGACCATAACATCTAGTGCACTAGGGTTGAATAAACTACTATAATGGACCCTAGCCCCAGTGGCTATGCTAAATAAAAATCAGGGCATCTGTGTCAGGTGGTTGTATGTGGAGACATACATTGTACATGTACATGAACATCAAATCCAAACTTGTTATTTTTTTCCCAAAGGGTATAGAGGTTTTTCAAGTGATGTAACATGAAGGGCAAAGGCATTTCAAGAAGCGCACCATGTCCTTGGAGGCTCATGCATTTTTTAATCTTGGTATTTCTATTGGTGATGTCATCTACAAAAGAATGTTGAGAGACTTCAAAGGCACACATGTTTCCGCACACATCTGCGTAGATTAAACGCTGACCATCTAAAATCATGTGACTGAAAAGCCTCTATTCCAATGACTTTTGAGAGATGTTTCCCATGAGCATCCCTATAATGGTATAGTCCTGAAGCGCATCGCCATTGTGAAGTAATGATGCCTGCCACTCCATTGCAAATTTCAGGGACAAGTTTCATCCACTTTTCACTGATATACAAGCTTGCAGTTCAGCCTTCCACCCTTCCTTTTTTTTCGACAAATCTGCAAGATTATGTACATTGTGACCCCACACTTCTCAAGGCCCTACAACACTCCAGTGGCAGAGAGTCTGAAGAAATATTGTACTTGATAAAGTGTAGACATGCAGCTTTCTCTAAATGTACCAGTTTGCATTTAGTACATGTAGTCCATGCCAGTTGCTGGCAATTGCTATAGTTTTCAACCAAAAAAAAGAAAATCGTTGTTGGAAATCTCACACCAACTGACAGGCATCAGATCACGAGAACGATTAAGCAAGTTACTAATCGTCATATCATTGCAGGTTCAACCAGTTATATCCCCAAGTTGATGAAATCTACCACTTGGAGTTGTTACTGCTTGAGCTGAATCAACAACTGATGGTTGCCGAGGCGACCAGAGAAAAAGGAAAGATTTTAAATGCTCTCGAGAAAGGTAAATCAACTCAAACAGGCTGCTAGCTGACTTGCACATTTATACTTCCCGACCGAAGAAGCTTATGTAGCATGTGAATGGAGAACCAATCAGGGCTATCTGATGTTGCCTTTAGCTTCAAATAAACTGTTATAAATTTGCATGAAGTAATACCAGTTTTAATTCTAAGCTGTAGTTCTAATATGTGTGAGATGGACACATTCAAGGAAACCTCGCAGCACAGTGATTATTGCATCTAACTCTTACTTCCCGAATAGCTGTATATGAGAAGAACAGGGCAGGGCCAGATGACACGGCCGACCATGCTTGTCTGCTGGGTGAGTGGTTTCAGCAGATGTCATGTGTGAAAAGTGTTAGTGATCCCGACTTGCATCCAACGATGGCATCAAAGAGTGGTACGTACATATATATATATCAGGGATGTGATTGGTCCAGATTTTTCTGGATTTCTGGAATTTCTGTGAGACTTTCCGGATTTCCGTATTGTCAATGCTTTCAATATATAACACAAGGACTACAATATTTGGTGCGAAACTAAGCAAAAGACTTGCACAAGTTTTGGTGTATAGCATGTACTTTCGCATTGTTACTCCCCCCGGAAATGCGCCAGATACATAGGTAATAGTACATTGAACGGAGGGGGTATCATTGTTAAAACATAGGGACCCAGGCCAGCAGTATGATCGTTGTGTGTATGTACATGGACATGTAATGTACGTACTGTACGTTCGCTGTGTGGATTTTGTGGATCACTGATAACTTTGTGTGTGTGTGTATTATACTTCTAGGTCTTTGATTGTCACCAATTATAGCTTACACGTATAATTGCAATTGAAGTGAATGAGGACAAGGGTTTTGTTGCAGTAAATGCTAAATTGTATCTCTCAAAGTGAGAACAGCTCTTGTGGTGGCTTACATGAATCTCCTCATATAATCTAGATATGCCGCAAATTGTAGGGAAGCTGCGGCCGACCCGACTTGCAAAACCCTCCGACGAATGTTTGATGGAGTTTTCATTTCCCCAACTCACACCCCTGATATATGGCATGGATATATGTGACCCACTCTGTGAAAATGAGTCTTAAGTCACTAGAGCCACTTAGGAGAACGAAGTCCTTTAGAATAATTTTGCACAGTGTAAGTCAATAGGACCCCACAGCATTTTTCACCATGGAGGATCCACTTTCACCAGGATGCCAAACTGAGTGATACATCAAAACGAAAAGCTCAAGTTGCTCTTTCCAATACAAACGAAAACTCAAAAAGTGGCTCTGGCGACTTAAGACACATTTTCACAGAGTGGGTCACATATGTTGGGAACGATCACCCGATCGCTCTGCAAGACCGGTCGATCCTGTATGAAATTACCAACTCTACTTCCCTTTTTTGAAACGTCTTCCACAATCTTGAAGTAGAAAGAAAATGCGCTTGGCTGATGGTAGAATTATTAACAAATTGTGCAACTGATCATGCAAAGATTAGGCACTCGTGCTGGTCACCTTCTCCTGTTTTACATTTATATTATATATATACATGCACATGCTGTAGATATGAAACGGAAACCTTTCCAAAAAAACTGAATTGTAATACGATGAGTTACTTTTTCAATGAGCCAGTTTGGTATTTCAAAAAGCCAAGGTCTTTTGGGAACAAAGCGTGTGCGTGAGTCTGCATGTGGCTAGGCAGCATTGATAGGACAGACTGTCGTGTGCACGTGTAGCTATGCCTGAATAGCCTGGTACTGGGCATGCACTGTTGGAATACCAAATTGGCTCATTAAGAAGGCTGGAAGTAGGAACAATGTGTATTTAGGAACCAGTTAAACAGAAATCCCATGGTCAATGGTCATGTCATGAATTGTGGATGTCAGAACTTCAGTAGACCTTGCCATTGACATGTCGCTTATTAATCCTTACAGTAAGAGAAATACTTTTTTTTTCATGTACCAAGTTCATTTCATTATATGTCAAGTTTGCCAAATCACATTCAAGCCAGGAGGATTTACTTGTATGTTGTGAAGCTGCTGCCACTGCAGTTCAAACAATTCTGAACTCTCTCACGTCCACCACTGTGCTGGAACTCAGAAGTACATTCAGAAGTTTTGTTCTGTGAATTTGAATGGCGTCATGTTCTCAAGTACCTAACAAAGTAATGGTGGCTAGCTTTTACTTTTGTCAATCTTGCAAAATCTCCCCAAGCTTTATGGTGGATTTTGGAGGATATGGCTTAGCATTCCATTTATAACAGTTTTGCTTTGTTGCAACAGTCCAAAACTTCCAAGTGGCTCTGTCAAATGTACACAACATCACCAATTATCTCTGTGTGATTGGATTATAGAAAGCTCTATCCAGAAAGACCGAGTGTTCTACTGGGCCAAGTATGAGACACCATCAAGCCATACTGATGGTAATCAGACTTTGAGCTTTTCCACAAGACACTGTGGAATATGCATTCGCCTGTGTATAACAGCACCAAAGTAAGTGCCATATAAAGTATCCCTTCGTTATTTCATCATGTAGCATATGCGCTTGCCAGTTTCAACTTTAGTTCTCTGTGTCGTATTTTTGGTCAGATTGTTAAACTAAGTGTCACAGATAGTAAAACACAAAAATGTTAGAATTTACTGAGATCTGGATGTTTTTGTTTTTTGGGTTTTTTTGTTTCTCTGTGAGGAGACCGACGGTAGCTATTGACCTTTTGAACTAAAACTCTTCCCTTTCCTACCAGCAGCATTTAACTCACGTCTTTGTAGTAAATGTACCATGATCAAATTTCATTCTTACTACATGTGTAGAGACCACAATTCGTGCATCCAATGAAAAGAGAAATATTGACAGAATTTTCCAATTTCTCACTACAGTGTACTTTATATTGTTTGACATTTCCTTGTAGGTTGCACCTGTTTTAGGTAGATATTTTTCACGCAAGAAATTAATTTGTCAGTGATAGTTTTTCGATTCTTTGTTTGCTCCCAGATATTTCAATGATGGGTCTCCACGATGCAGCCCAGGGACTATGTTTTTGACCTCGGACATACCTCTGGAAGGCCTTCAGCTTGGATTCCAACGTTGCATCAGGGACGGCCAACTGGCTCACGACTTTGTCATCAGTACAGTATGGAGGCTCATAGAGGACCAGATTCTTCCTTTTGTATCAACGTAGTTAAGAGGGTGGTTTCAATTTGGCTTATCACAATGGCAGTGCTGGTGTAGTCATCAACATTAGTTTTTTAAGAAATGGCTCAAACCACAAAAAGGCTGACAGACTTGTTCTTGTATGTGGATGAGCAAAACTGCAACACATTTCTGCTATTACCCTAGGCCCATACTCACAATGGGTTTGTGCGCATTGAAATGAAAACTAGTCACGTGCTTCGCACACAGTGTGCAAGTGGAACCAGTGTGTGGAACCTTACATGTATATACGCCACAGTTGAAACATTTTCCAAAGGAGGCAACTCTCAGCTGATCGTTATTTAAAAATTTATGAGTTAAATTGAATATTCTGGAAGTTGCAGAATGGATGCATTGAAATTTGTGGTGTGCAAAATCTTTCCCCATTTGAGAAAACTTCCAAAAAATTTCAGACAAGTGAGACTGAGATGGAATTTTTTGCTTTTGAAGTTTTTAAAGCATTTTGAGGGAACAAAAAACTACATAGTGAATAAAATTTGCATTTCATATTTGAAACATTTCAGAGCTTGATTGGTATTTTTCTTTACGTTTGTTCTTCAAATTGTACCCACATTCCTTGTTTTTTTTTGGCAATGGCAGAATTAAAGAAGTACAAAAATTTGTCCAATGTGATTCATTTGACAAAGTCCAAAATGTGTTTATTAAGTTTTTTTATATCCAACGATGTCACACATTCACAGAATAAATATATATAAAACTGGAAGCTTAATTACATTCTAAGCAAGGGCTGGCTTTCTCAACATAAGCAGCTCAGAGATGAACGAAAAGGTCGTGCCCCACACCTCGTTTTGTAAGAAGATAAAACTGTGTCCAAATCTATTACTGGAATGTAATTTTGTGGAGACTATCCATGGGCGGAGCCAAGGGACCCATCCATTGGGGCCATGCCCCCACCCACCCCTTTCCAAAAGGAGCAAATGCTCTAATGCAAAGTGCTAACAAGTTTAAACCCATTTCAATTTCTGACAAGTTGCATTATGACGACAAAGCACTTTCGTACAAAGTTTTAAAAAATTGCACTAAATGAGCTTTTGATGAAAATAAAAATGCCTAAATATTTACACAGCATAATGCTCTTTCTTCAAATATGTTTAAAAATCTATGCAACTTTGTTCGTACATTTTGCATACTGGCATCTTGAATACATAAGTGCATTAATTTAACACGGTATTATTTCAATCACACTAGACTATATTCACAAAAAACATGATTCCTTAAAGACCAGAAAATGGTATGTCTTTTTCTGTTCTCCGTTTCAGTGCTCAAAATGCATCTATGACATTTACTTTCAATGCTGATACCACCCAGCATTTAGAAGATGGCTACAGAAATTTGAAGTCTGAGGGAACAGGCTTGAATTTATGCTGGTAGCCTTTCTGGATTTCTTATGACATGTATAACGAAGACAGCTGTCAAACAGAGCGGTTGCAGGAATTTAAGGGCTGTTGTCAGATTTCCTTTATTTTGTACAAGGCAGCTATTTTGTTCATTGTTCCCTCCAATTTGACTTGATAATTTTCAAGAATCAATTACTTTTTGTGAACCTCTACTTAGACAGACATTTAACGTTTTTCAATGTAACAGATTTGTGAAATGCAACAAATAACTTAATCAATACAATTTACTGATTTCAAAAACTTTGATCATACAGCAGTTGGGCACATGTCAACGTGATCAGCACACACGATTCATGTTAAACTTGTACTAGTCTTCAATGGGACAAGGCATAGAGGTTTTATGACCTCTGACCCTCCGGGGTCATTCAGGCAGTGACCCCGACCCTGGACGTTGTGCTGCGAGAGGCTTTGGTGCTTGTGGAATCCTGGGAGGCCAGCCCACTGCGGTTGGTCCCCACCCTCAGCCTGTGGAACTGCGGGGCCATGCTGGAATCAATGGAACTCGCTCGACGACTCTGGGTTGGGGAGACTGTGCCGTCGCTCACGTCAGAGTACTCAAAGTTCTGTTTTTTCCAAAAAATGAAAATAATTACATCAGCAATTTTGACAGTGTATTGTGTCTTTTCTAAGCAGTGTCTTCAAACTTGGAAGTTCACCACAGACAAAATTGAAGTTTCTAAAGCACATCTCCATGGTCAATCCTCTCGGGAAAATGAAACAGCTTCCACTAAAGTCTCACTGGACACTCCTGATGGCCCCCTTGAATGGCAGTATTCAAGCTGCCACAATGCTTACCGACATTAAAAGGGGCCACCGCAGATAACCAGTGATGGCATTATACATGTAGTTGTCACCAGAATTGTCTAGATTGTGTGCACAAAAATAAATATTCAAGAGGTTAGCCATTTCCAAGACTATTCCAAGAAAGCGCAGCCTACATTCCCCTGTAAGATCATGCATATTGTAAGAATCTGTTAGAAAAGCAGAAGCTATTCAGAGCTGAAGGGTAACCCTACTTTATGGTTTTGCAATGGAATTTGACTTGTGTGTATGCATAGTCCTATGTATCTGGTGTGTTTTGTGTGCAATTTCACTGACAGTGCAGTAAGCACAGAATTCTACAACAAACCATAACAAAATAGCTATAGCTTCCTTTTCTGAGCTGTCTCCCATTTGGAAATTAATCGCAAAGGTTTACAGTGCCAAAAGAACAGACAACTGGGAAGCTTATAAAAGCTGACCTCACAAACTTCAGAACCATTTGCAAAAAGGAATTTAACTCCAATTCGTGTGTGAAGCAAATGACAATTAAGTGCCACAAATAATGAGGCAAATGTCCCAACTCCTACTTGTCAGCTACAAATCATTCCCAGCAGTGCAATAATGCGACATCTGACACCAACAATAAAAAGTGCAAGACAGTAAGTGACCATTATTTCGAGGAGGGAGGGTTGATGGAATTAGGGGGTGCGGTCTGGCTGGGAATACCTACACAATTGTATTTTAATCCCAAAAAAATCTGTGAGATGACTTGCATCACTAAAGGATGATTCACACTTCCGGCAGACACAAAAGCAAAGCAAGTTTGATGTTACACAACATTTGCAACAATATTTGCCCAAGTTGAAATGTGTTCAACTTTTGCAAATTCGCAGCACAAGTATTTTATCCGACACCATAAAATTGTGATTGTATTCCTTTTGCTCCAAGTATGAACCGACCTTAAAGTGAACATGCACCAGACCATCAACAGGCAGTTTCAGTCATATTCAACAGTGGATGGAACTGTTCAGCAGTGATGATGGAAAAGCAGTGTTAGTGTAAAAATGGGATATTAGACTCTAAGGTGGCCTAAAAAGGGGCAGTTTGGGGATGGAGGGGGCAAGGGTGCATGGGAGAAGTTTTGAGACTTTTTGGCAATTAGAGGACTCATCAGGGCTCTAGATCTGTTATCATCAGCGGTTGATTACAGATGTCAATTGGAGAATAACCCAAAAGTATATTAAATTGCTTGAGTGGGGCATACTGGCACATTGCCATGACGGATCTAACCATAATACTAGCTGCAACTTTTGGGGGTAGCCTGATTCTCATATTTAACATCAGAATTTACTGAACCCGATTCAAGGGTGTGTGTGGTTTGCCCTGTTTCAAAGATATGATGAACAAATTGATGAAATCGTGGAAGTTTGATGGGAAAGTGGAGAAAAGTTTGCAAGCAGAAATTTAACTCGGTGATTGTGGATAGACACGCAGGATTGACAACAGGAGGGTGAAATTTCACTGGGGCAACTTCTTGGATTCTCTTTGATAGACCTGTTACATAGAGTGGGTTTAATTTGTCCCAACACATTGGGTTGTAACACTCTATACATTTTAGGAAAGCAATACGACATCTTTCAAGATACACCTTTGTTGTTTCAACTAACTGTTGTGAGTATTAGAACTCTGTGTGAAAGACTAAATGTAAAAACATCCTGCGTATGTGCCATAAATACTGGTCTTTTTTGCACCTTAACTTCATATCTCTGATTGATTTTGTGTGTCGCTGGCTCTTATGACCCATCTACAAGAGTTTAGTACAATACATGTAATCAAATAAGGCTTACTTTAACCACATGCTGCCGGGTGCTTTTAAAAATGCAGGGCACACATATAGGCAATTTTCTAGATTTTCAGTTTTAAAAATTCTTCAAAAATTCATCATTTTATTTAATGGGCATTTACACCCACGCGAATGACTGTTTGGTGGCTACTCTAAGCTGACAGGTGACCTTCGTTGACTCCTGAATATTTCAGCCTAGGCATGCCACCCTGTAAAGAGAGCCCAGAATTGTGAGGTGTTGCGTAATTTCCTTTGTCCCCAGGGAATGCAAGCAGCTAATCAATGGGGCCCTGGAGCACATTTGTCTGCATGCTATGCCCAAAACAGTAGTTTACTGTTTAAAAGCAGTGACGGATTACCTTCAAAAATGCAAGCTGAAAAATGATGGCAATTCCCAGCAGCAGGTCTTTTGTTCCGAGTACGGTCTTTTGTAACGCGGACCAGCTCTTTTGTCCCATTTCGGGCACCCAGGCTCTGCATATAAGCCCATGGTGCTTGAAATGGGGTTCCCCAGCAGCAAGTGGTTAAATACAGGATTTGATTTTTCTACAGTTAGGATGTAGACAGATTGAGTCAAAGTTGCTAAGGCAGAGACCTCAAAAGTAAGAAAGTCACAGCCCGAATCAAAACAAAGGTTTGAGAAATGGCCCAGGTGAGGTTTCATAGTTGTTCCTACTACCCTACTTTACAGATAAACTTGTCACTGTGTGCACACCAAACAGTAAATAGAAGAGAAGAACAGGTGAAATTAGAGCAAGAGATTTCAGGCAAACTGACTTTATGGGGACTTCCAACCATCGGCAGGTATGTCAAGCCTCCATTCCTAAGATTGACAGCATGCGAGGGGGTTCAGGCAGGGAAACAAGGGCAAAGACAGAGGGAGTAAGCGAGGCAAGCAGAAGTACCAAACAGCTAGGCAAAAAAATGAGCATCTAATAAAGTCATACAGGAAACATTCTGTGGGATTCGCATTTTGAGGATGCTACTGTTTGGTCTCAAAAAATATCTATAACCAAGTAGTGCTTCCATTTTATAATCATTCCCTTAAAAACTGCTTCAACTTTTTGAAAAAGTGATCATTATTTTGAAACGTTTTCAAGTTTAAGTGATTGATCTATTAGGATCGAGCTAAAAAAAACACAGCACAGAAAGCCCCGACCAACCTTCCACTGAAGTCCCTCACTGATGGAGAAGGTGATTCCCGTTCCACCAGTCCTGCTCTGGGGAGCTGTGGCGACAGACGGAAGCTTAAAGTCTCTCCGCGGCTCCTTCATCTCCAGAAATTTCTTAAGCCGCTGCTTTGTCAACTTCTGTATCTTGGTGGCTGTTGGAAGAAATGGACGATTGCACCAAACATGACAAGAAGACGTCTTCACCATAAAATGGAACTATGACAAAATCACACATTACAACTGCACACAATATACTGCTGGACAAATAAGTCCATTTTCCATAAAGTTCTGATCTACACTCGTCAACTTTTGATGCATCCCATTCATGCACGAGAAACACATTTGTACACATTCAGTTGAAAATTTCAATCGAATCCTTTACGTCATTCCCACTTGCATACTTGAATGTGATGCGTCTTTCGGTAACCTTCAGGAAGCCACAAAGTAATACCCACAGTTTGCATAATCCACACCTGTAGGTGTACATTCTACTATTTGTTACAGTAGTTGCTTGTTTATCAAGGTGATAGTGTTGTATTTTTGTCTTATTCAAGAAACCAAGATTTCTGATGACAGTTCACTGGGAATTAATGCCGTCCCAGTGAATTTCATATACCTGTGATATGCTTATGCAAGCTTATACATTACGGTAAAAGGATCCTAAATTACGACTACATCTTAGCATGTGATCACTGCACACCTTGGAATCCTCCAACCCCAAATGGCGGAAGCCATGAGTCAGCTTTTGTTTAGAGGAACCTGAAAGAGCCAATAGCTGTGTGAAATAACAAACACCATTGTTTGGCCACTACTGGGAGGTCTCCTGAAGGTGCAGTGAACATGCGAGGATTATTTAACTCACAGGGAAGTCTTGGATTCTTGTCATGGTATTCCTTGAAGCGTCTGGTGAAGGAAGACCAGTAGGGAAGCATCTCTTTGAAGACTGTGTACTGGGCGTCATCAAACAGTGTTGGGTTATGGGGGTCCTTGCCTTTGTCTTTCAGATAGTTGTCAGTCTGTTTCAGCAGCTTGCTGGCAACCTCGGGCGGTACGTCAATCTGTCAAGGCAACAGATATTTAAGCTGAAACAAAGCTAATTCTGTGCGCCTCATCGACAGACGGAAAAATTTGAAACAAATGGGGTTAAGGAAGAGTGTTGGTGAGTTAATACTTCCGTGAGATTTTTTGGACAGCAAGTGAATTATTCTGTTTGCTTTTGTTCTGGTAGCTGGCCATAGTTTTACTAGCCTCTCGTTGGCCAAAATACGATGGTTACATGGAGGGGGCAGACCCCATACTTGCCTGCAGTCCAGGGTTGGTGACTGGAGAGTCAATGAAGCAATCTACAATCACTTCAACCTTCCGCTTCAGCATGAACATATCAGAGTATGTATGGTGGGACTCCTGTGGGAAGAATGCATGGACACTTATAGTTATAGGCCTAGAAAGATAGATATGGATAAACTTTAATTATTTGTGGGGAATGTTTTTTTATCAAACCAAAAGTAATGGTTAACACACCAAAGTTAAGGCTGATCCTACATATCTTGACAAGCAGAGCAACCGGTCAAAATATTAACTGTCACTTCACAGGTAAAGTTACAATAACTGTCAATATACATGTCGATAAATGTTCCAAGCAAAAGTCAGCGAAGCATTGGTCAGATGAAGTCTCCATCAAATTTGAACACTTTGGCTTGCAACGTAGTGTCTTCTACTTGGTAATTGTTTCCCTGAAAGAGCAAATTGACGTTTTGCAGCTCTGGCCTCTCATTAGCCGCACGATGGGCAAATCAATTATCAAAATAAAGTGCTTCAAACTGCGAATTAAAGTGCTATGGGAATGTCCAATGAAATATTGCCAGATTTGTCTCAAGTACGGGTTACTGCTGCCTAGCATTTCATGTTGGTGCAAGCTGGATTAAACCACAAAAAGCTAGTTTGAAGCTTCCCAAAATATAAAAGGTACAAAGAGACCCTAAAACTTATCGTGTGTGACCATGAGGGTTAGCAATTGTTTTTAATGCACACCTATGATAATTTCATACTTTTCAGTTTCGTAAAGTACCTACAGTGTGCTTACTAGATAATCCCGGCCCCATTTTTAGGTACCTTAAACCTCTGCACTTCCAAATAGAAGACCAGGTCTTTCTCCAACAGCGGCATGGCGTCTTTCTCCCCGTACTCCATCAGGTATCTGTGGAAGTAGATCATCTTCTCGGGAGGCACTCCTCGGGCTGCCTTCAGCAGGAAGGACTGAAACTCGTTCTTGTCCTGGGATGTCGGCATCTGCTGACCAGAGTGCTGGGGATATGTGGGATTAGGTCAAAGGTCACCCAGTAAGTCCAGAAGTAAAGGCATGAAAATGCACTTTCAATACTCGTATTTAACTTGAATTAAAAAGATGTATTTGCAGGATCAATCATTAGTTAGCACACTCCAATCAAAACATAATCAAAGAAGTCTGTTCATTGATGCACTCCTTTTCTTCAAAACTAAAAAAATCAATATAGCAAACGTACGCACATTCACGCAAGAAAACATTTTTTCCATTGTGTGTGCATTAGAAACCAGTGTTGTCCATCACAACTCCCTCCGAATCCATGTAAGTCCATCACAAGTCATTCAGTCTTAAGAAAATTCCCAAGTTATTCAAATGAACTGTGACAAAAGCATTTTTTGTCATTGTTCACCCTATTGTGAACTGGACTTGTGACTGGACTTGTGAAGGAACTTGTGATGAATAGACTTGTGATGGACTCAAACACGGCACTGTCAGGAGCTTCTGTTTTATGGAGCAAGAAAACAGACCTCCATGTGTGTGAATTCCAGAAAGGAGTTCAAAACTTCAAAGTGTAGAAAAACACTTTCCATAAACTCTATGACATCTGGTGAATGGAATGTTGATTTTTAATTGCACAGCAAACGTTAGCAGCAGATATGTTTTGCAAGACATGCCAAACGTCACTACTATGTAACATGATACATGAAATCTACGGAATAATGGAATGCGAATAAATGCTATTGCCACTTTGGGGACACTGAACAACTAACAGTGCAGGATGTGTTGGAAATAAATGGGCTGCCAATGAGTGACATTTCAAAATTTGAAATATGGGCAGGACAATGAGTGATGCACAGCCATGGACACATGTATATAATCAACATGCCACATTCAGCTACAGATTTTTGCCAATCTTTGCAATGAGAAAACAAGCGACCCTCTTCCAAGTCCTTTTTGCTCCTCCATGCCACTTGCTCCAAATTCTGCTTTTGTCTGTGTCTAAGCTTTGCATGCATGTTATTTGAGAGGTGAGGCTACACCATTATCACAGCAATCTGATGAGGTCAACACATTCCACCAAAGTAAACAGGTAAATGATCTCTGCATTTGAAATGAAAAGTGAGATCAAGGGGAGGCAATCAGTTGGCCAGTTTGTGGTGCTCCAAATATGAACGAGAATGTAAAACATTGAGTTGTTTATTCAGGATAATCACAGTTTGGTGTAAGCTTATACAGTGTACGTGGCAATGCAAGATAAGGGGAGAATGCAAAACTCTGGGCGATAATCCAAGGTTTCACAGGTACCCCACAAAACCCTACAAAACCCTGCAAACCTTGCAATTTGAGGAAAAGCTTGGGTTACTGCATGTTTGATTTCACATTCTCTCCTCCTTGTGCCTTTAATCTGAAGCTTTTCACACAATCAAATGAAAAAATTATAATTAGTGCAGGAGTTACATGTGCACGTACATTTGATCTTTCAACTGAAGTTGCAAGTCCAAAGCTGGTAACACGCTCTATCATTATGCACCCTTCCCATTTTGAAAGCAATGCAACCCCATGGATGAATGGTGGAGTCACAAAGGATTTTTTTTACAGTGCACCAACTTCTGTGCACCAACTTCACACCGAAATTCTTTAAAAACTTCACACCGGAATCAGAAAGCACTCGACCGCCTGCTTACCGGACCCTTGCCACGTCTCCGTCGTTTCCAGGCAAGCACCAAGCTTTGCGTGCTACCTGATCTCAGGGCCATGTCAAATTTGGAGTCTCCGCCCCCTCCACCTTGGTCATCCATTGACTCTGTGTGGGCCTGGGCACAAGGGATAAAGTGTTCATGGAGGGGAAAGGGGGGGCAAATGATATGATTGTGAGGATGAAGTGGAACCAGTGATATCCTGTGGAGTATGTGGCATACACGCAGTTGACATCAACCAATGAACATCTAACTTAAGAATTGCCTTGAAAGTATCAAAAAATGTACAGCGATAAATCTGGGGCAAGTTCAAGAGACATGTGTATTTACCACAGTTGAATCAACACTGCCCAAAGGATGGATGGTTTGAGCCATTCCCTAGGGCACGGTTGTGGCAATGGTTATCAATAGAATACTGCATATCAAGTAATTGGTACAGAGGGCACCACTCACATGAAAATACCGTAATTGTACAAAATATCACTGACCATGGACACTGCAGGAGTTGCGTCAAAATGCGACGACATGATTTTACAAAACAGTTTCAATTGGATCATTCAAGTGTGACTGTTCTTTACGTGCCCACTGCCAACAAGCAACTGGCACATGGTCAACCTATAGCTCGGCCTGAACTTGCCCTTGGTTTTACTCTAAGTTCAGAATAAAAATTATCATTCCAAACTGTTCTACAGCTTGCACTACATCAAAATTCTCACAGTCACAATTGGCGATAAATGCAACAAAGCTACAGTATGCAAGCACTAACTAGCAGCTGCTGCTGTCTAAACTCTATTTAGTGACAACACTTTGAATGCAAACAACATTTGACAAACATACATGTTGGGAGCATCGGGCCACATGTACATGTAAATGGTGTCAAAATTCTCTAATTCACCTTTAAAAGATGGAACATAACATGGAAGGGAGGCACTCTCTTATTCACTGATTACAAGCCAAATTTTTCAACCAGTCTCACTTATTATTGTTCCCCTTCAATTCAATTTTGGCTAGATATAATTGTTCTTTTTCCAATGAACTTGTGATTACTGCTCGGGAATAGAAATTATGAAATTTACCATTGACACTAGTCACCACACAACAAAAAAACATTCAGATTCCTCCAAGTTTCTGTGACCTATGGCCAGTTTCCTTGTTACTTATTCCATTAGGACAGAAATATGGCTGACCCTGATTAGAAAGTATACTGCTCATTTTGTTTTTATTAAATCCTATGATATTGCCCCTTATGAAAAAAAATTAAAAACTACAGTTTAAATGAAACGGAATCTACAAGAAACTTGACAGTATAGATGGAGAGTTTAACAACTTCAGTCTTTGACGATAGCTATGTCACTATGTCACGATTCAGATGACTTTTCAATGGACCACCATTATGAATAGTAATATAAATATATACAACATTTTATAAATTACAACTAAAAAAATGTAAAACAAGAAAAGTTTCAGGGATTATTAGTCAGTTTTATAGGAGGAAAACCCTAGATAATTGTTCCACTGAAAACCAACACGTCAGGTGGGGACTTAATTACCCAATCCACATGTCAACCCGGGCAGGATTTAAACCCAGGTTACTGAAGTGGAAGGTGAGGAAAGTACCGGATTCCGTGGCATGATATGATTGGACTTTCAGAACAGACAGGACCAGCAGAAGGATGTATAACTAAGACATCTAAAAAGAACACTAAATTAAACATCATACACTTAAACAAAAACTGTGCAATTTCACCTGGTTTAAATTGAAATGTTCTCTCCTTTGATTTCTGCCTTAAGAGTTCTGCCTGTTGTGGATTCCCATCAAACCTCACACAACAGGGAATGTTTACACCAAATGTTGTGGAGCTGATATTCACTCCAGTTTGGGGAAGAAACTGGGTAAAAGATGTTCCAACCTTTTCTTAGAATCTAGGCACTTTCATGCCAATTCTTAAAGATTAAAATCACATTCTGTATATTCTTTGTTAGGCTATGATTTAGACCGAGAGAAGTCAACCTAAATGTAGTTATGGATTTGGAAAATGACTTTTGAATCCCTATTGCTGAAATTCTTGCTGACAGCCCTGTCTATTGTGAACGTAAGATCGAACATGCCAATTTAAAGTCCAAATCCCCACTGACATATTCATTTTGAATGCTGTTTGGACTTCCCGGGAAAAAAACCCTAAAAAAGCATTTTCCTTTCAAAATTCAGTTCAACTGGCCTGTTTGATGCCTTTCCATGGAAACTACCTGATAATCACTAGGTCTGTAAAGTTCATATCTATAAAAAAATAATTCTGTTTGTAATGAATTCGATACTAAATCGACATGCTGGAAAGTGCACAATGAAGATGGTATGACCGTGCTAACAACGTAAAGCAGACAAAACAGTTTTCAACAAAATTGTCTGATGACTGTGTTTCTTCACACAAGAGTCCATTTCTTGCCATTTTGTTACCTCAAAAACATGTTACTTTTAATCTTGGAAAGAGTATGTGTGCAGCTTCACAAATTTACTGCCATTTCTGAAATTCCTAGGAGAAAATGTAATAACTTTATCGAAATCTCTTTGGGTAGGGTGGAATGGGCAAATGTTCTTGAAATGTCAGAAGTGACCAGTTGACACGCTGGACACGTGGGAGAAAAACACTAACAGGTTTTTTTTTTTATTTCAACGGTGCAGAATTTGTTTGAGGGTCTGAAATGAAAACATACACACATACATGAAGCTTTGGCAATTTACGTTTGCTACAGTTGGGTCAAAACTGATGCCGATTGATGGCAGGGTTCAAAGTCAGCATAATGTTCATAATCCTTCCTGCTTTACGGGCAAAATATGGATCTTGTGTCCTTCACACTCTATGCACGTATATGCTGTATGTCATTCTGCTATGAGATCAATGGATGGCACTGACTGGTGAGTTGTTTCGGAGGGCTGAATACCTTCGACGTTAACACCATCAGCATCTGCACCTCATCAGTGCTGAGGTAGATCTTATCGACACTGTCTGCCTCGGTCTGATAGACCGTGGAATCATAGATCTGTCACATGGGGATTCAACTGCTCATTAAAGTGCTATAGAAACTGGATTTTGGATCTTAAAAATAAGGTACATATCAGAGCAATACATTTGAAAGTGCAGTGCATGCTGCCTTACCTGAATCTGCAGCATACTGAATTTGTTAAAACATGCATGCAGTCATGTCTTTCACGTACTTATGTTCTGAGTTTTGACAAATCCAACAGGTTCTTCCTTCATTAGAGATCTGTTCAAAATAATCCTACCAATTTTTTGAGCTTGTTCATTCAACCCCAGAATCAGTTGCACTCACTGCTGCAAAGTGATATTCAGTAGAATCTGAGTCTGAGAGTACATTGAATGAGTGGGAATTTCAGTTTTAGATGCAGCAATGCAAGAAATGGTCCAAGACACTATAACTGCACAAGCATTGGCAATGCAGTCTAAGTCATTTTGTCCATTTCTGAAGCTTCCCACCAAACTTTTTTTTCCACATAATCAGCTTTTAGCTCAAAATGAAAAGCCATTTGTACATGTACTTACAGACAACTGTGACTGATTTCTTGGGCTTAATTTCAAATGTAGAATAGGCCTTCATGTACATGTGTATTAGACAGTTTTCGGTACATAGTATTTTAGACCCACATGTACCTATATTCAGTAATTCATTAAAGAGCAAAACTGCAACACTTGTACAGTCAGTAACCTCATTAACTAATAATAATAATAACAATGGTTTCTTATATAGCACTTGTAATTTAATATCAAAGCACTTTTCCATTATTCCAAATGTGATTTTCTTTCTGATATTAAAAGAAGTGAACTTACAATCCAGAAGTTACTGAAGACCTGTTCCAGTTTGGGGATGACGTGCTTCTGGGCTGCCTCCAGGGTCTTGACGGTGGGCCGGTCCCCCTCATTGCTCAGACGAGTCAAGATGTCGTGGGATAAATCAATGGCCCTGAAGACAGCCGAGAGTGAGGAGCAGTATGGGCTTGTATATCCTGTATAACTGTGCTAAGGTTGGATTCAGCTACAAACACTTGATGTTAACAGCCAACTTGAAGGTACAGTCCGTTATTTGTCATTCGTGAATCATGTTTGTGTAACAAAGCAGACAGCTGCAGATGTGGGACTGTACCTTTAAACATTCTCAGAAAAAAATCTAGAAATGAAATGCCCCCAACGCTTGATTGTGTAGATTTAGGCGCACATGAAAATTTGTTAACTTGTGAAAATGGGATGTACTCCTATGATCAAATTTATTCCCAACTGAGGAGCAGTATGATTTAAAAAGACAGTCTCACACTTATTAAATTCCAGAAGCAATGATGGTGCTTAAGAATGCCCATGAACTTGTTTAAATGACAATTTACATGTACATCACTGTAATTGACCTGTACATGTACATATGGACTGCACTACAATGCTCTTCCCTGTTTGGAAATGGGCAAGGGTCCAAATATAGTCTTTAATCAAGCCATGACCGCCCTTTACAACTAGAAAGGTTGCAGGAACTTGCTTACTTTTTTGAAGAGGGATCAAAGTAAGTGCTGCTGATCTGTTTGGCCAGGTTGTATCGCTTCTCAGCATGGGCGTCTGGAAGACGCAGGGCAGCCTCGATATCAAAGTACATGTTGAAAGCACTCAGGTTCTCCTTGCCCTCAATCTCTTGCATGTAATTCTTGAACAGAGTCATCAGCCTATGCACAAAGGGTACAGAAATTTCAATCACTCAATTTCAATTTTGAAAGATTTCCCACAATGAGGACGAGTGAGATAATTCTTTGTTTCATAAAAAAATGAACAAAAACAGAGGTAGCTCGGTTATCACTGCTACTCACTTTAAATTGTTTGAAATTATTTTCCCAGCAAATCTCTGACATAGGCACAGAACAGCGCTGTATAAAAAGCTAAATCTAGGAAGGTTCCATGTGATTCACACTATAAAATGTCGCAGTTGGGCTACATGCACATAGGAGTAAAAATAAAATCTCGACAGCCCTCTCATCCTGAGATAATAATCATCACATCAATACATGGGTGTGGTTGTATTCTGAGAAGATGCCACTGCTGCAGTGGCATTATACTAATGTGCATGTTTTTCAACTTTGAGGCGCACTTGACTTTGGCAAGTCAGACAACCCTATTGGTTATTGCCAAGGAGAAGCAATCACTGTTAAATACTTTCTTTTTCTGGTCACCAGATACAGTTGTGAAGTGGTCTAGACTGTTTTGCTCACCAATGGGACCAAGTATGTACAGCAAAAGTAAAGCTGAGCATAGTTTTTACTCTGAATTCAGTATAATATGCTGTTGAAATACACAATTTTGGAGAAAATAGCTTCACATGAGCAGGATTATTTGCCACTTCCTTCCCCCCCAATTTCCTGTCCCACCCATCCTTCAAATGTCTCGTACAAACATGAAAACCAAAATGAGACGGACAAGTTTCCCTAGCTTCTTGCAAGATGTCTAAACTTGGAGCACAGTGTGGAGAAATCTTTGACTGGATGAAACATTCTCTTATGCACTAAGCATGGATGTCTTAATATGCACATTTAGCAGGCATCTCGCCTGCCCTGGCTGTGAAAAGAAAAACCTCTTCCAGGGTTCAGATTAATGCTCTAAGTTTCGGATGAGTATCGTCAGTGCCATTATTACTGTTTGTTCTTGGCCATCTTCTTGAACGTGGCATCCTCCCTGCTCTCCTCTGGCACTTTGGCGTCGGGCGGTTGGTATGTTTGGATCTGCGGCACCATCACTCCCGCCTCCTCCTTCCCTTTAACCCCACCCTTGTTTCCACCGGCCTTGGCCCCGTCCCCCTTCCCCATCGGTTCCTGGTCCGTCTGGAACTTCACCCCAGGCTTCTTTTTGGCCTCAGCCCGGGCCTTCTTGACCTGCCGTAGAAGCTTGCGCTGCATGGCCAGCTGCTCCTTGCGCTTCTTCTGCTGTGCTTTCTTCTTGGACTCGGGGCTGAGCTCCCGACCCTTCCGGCGGGCCCGGCCAGCCTTGGACGGGATGCGCTGACTACGCGACTGACGTTTGGGTGTTTTGGATGCTGTGCTGTTGACCAAAAAGTGAAATACATTTGATTGTGGTCTCACCAAATCCAGCTACCTTTGCCCATTAAAACCCAATGCTTTCTGAGGATGAAATCAATACACACAAGAATGAGAAAAGGACAACTGAACTCATGCAAACAGGGTACAGCACACAGTCCACAGCAAACCACATGCAGCCATTTCAGTTTCCACGATGCAATCACTTCAAATCAAAACAATACAATAAACTGCCTCGCTAAATTCCGTAGAAACAACTTCCAGTCCACATTAAGAGTTTGGGGGGGAAGCAACATGGGGAATTCCAAAGGAACACATCTCCAACTGAATTCAAGCATGAACACTTGCTGATTCACTGGGCTTTGAACAAGAAAACTTGATGAATATTTTGAATGATTTCAGGATAAATACAGCATGCACATGCAAAATGCTACACAGACACCACTGCAAACAAACTAAGGCTGCATCCGAATCTGTTGTCTAGAGCTAAGACTAGGTCTTCGTTCCATTGGAAATGCATGGAGATGCATACACAATAGACCTAGCCGTAGCTCTGGAAGCCCGTTTCGGACCTAACTCAAGAAAGAGGCATGCTCCTCTCATTTCTAACATGCTAAATTGTGAAGGGAAGAATCAATTATATTCACATGCACTGGATTTACAAATCATGACCATCTAATATATTCAAGCAATAATCCCGTTAATAGCGGAACTTGTAGTGAATGATGATCACATACATTTTACTATTACCTGTACTGTGAAAAGTACATTTAGAAATTAACAGGCATCATGCTGAAGCTTTTAAAAATACAAGAAGTTGTATCATTAACCTTATTAATGCTTATGGGAATAGCACGTGTATATTAAACTGATCTGATCCAGGCTATCAAATACAAGGTCTGCACATGTGCTCAGAACTCTTTGATAGCTCGAGTATAAAAAATTCTTTGGGGTAAATTTTCTTCTGTATATGCAAAGCTTGAATATAATCCTCTGATTCTCAGTTCTGGAATCCTGACTTCACTGGAGCACAACGAATGAGTATCCTTGCTCATCCAAAGACAAAAGTGCATGGGTACTATTCTAGAATACAATTAAACACCCAAACTGGGCTCTGACCTTTGAGCAAGTTAATGGTCTAAAAGACAGCAAAGGGATTAGTTTGAAGTCTTCTTCGCACACAAAAATCAGGACCCAATTTCATGGCACTGCTTCACCCCTTCTCGATGGGAATTTCTTTCCGAAAGCCAAGAATTCCAGCCTCGCTTGGCCAGGAAGGCCACCTGCCAAACTGCAAATTCTCGGTTTGTGGCCCAGCATGCTCTGCACGCTTTAAAATTA